AGTCCTAGAGAAGGCAAAAAAATCCAAATCCAATAGGCAGAAGACAGGTCCGGGAACAGACGAACAGGGTCTACACACTGTCAGGACAGAATAATCAAACTAAGCTATAGCACGCTGGAATGCTAGGCTGGAGACTCTAGACAATCTGGGAAGGAACTAGTGCAAGTGGCCAGACTGATGAGGATGATCAGCTGCAGGTGGGTAGCTAGGCGGGGACTACCAGGTGAAGGGAGTGAGGTGACATCAAGCAGGAGGGGGAACTGGAATCTGAAATGACAGGAGAGTTAGTGAACTAGAACAAAACAACATGAGCAACTAAAATAATGTTGTAAGAGCTGGAGAGATTTGTGACAAAAGAAGCTGGACATTATGCAGCCTTCCAAAACTCCTCTGTGTTAAATGGAACTGGCCAGAAGATGATTTTCTGTTTTACAAAGGTAATTGTTGTGCAATATGTAATGATTCCTATCATAGTCTTAAGTTAATTTCTGGGAAAGTTGCTATTAACTTTGTGTCAGGACAAGCTCCATCCTCCACATCACCATCTTTGCACTGCTGCTGCTTCTCTATGGCACTGCTGGGATGCTGCTCTCACTGACAGGATAACTGGAAGCAGCTGTTTTACAGCCAATGGACATGTCAAAGGTTATTACATAACTTTACATCTTCACACTGTGACAACTCCCTTGACAGTTTTGGTTTGTGCCAACATTATACAGATTCAACAAACAGCTACAGACAAGATGCAACTACAGAGACGTGTTCCTCTACCAGTGTCCAGGTTTCTTCACAACACTTCACAGCAGAAGGTCTTAGGGGCTCTATTTTTAATTCAAATTTCCCACGCCTTTAACTGTATGTGCATTCATGTATTCACTTTGCATTAACCCAGCTGATGTGATGACACTATTGTTGCTTTTGACTCTTGAGTGTTACAGCTAGGAGTAAAACATTGTAATTTACATCAGCTTCATCCTTCAAGTCTTCACTGTGATCCCTCCACAGGACTACATGGAGAGCTAAACATGTCAAAGAAGCTGGACATCATGCAGCCTTCCAAAACTTCTCTGTGTGAAATGGCACAGGACAGAAGATGGTGTCTGCACTAGTGTCTGCTAAGTGGTCGAGGTATTTTAATTATTGTGTAACATTGTGCATGTTTTGTGTCAGAGTCTTAAGCCAACTTCTATTAACTTTGTATTTCTGTATTCTCAGGACCAGCTCCATACTCTTATGTCCACAGTTCAGTGGAGTCTAACTACTGTTGGTCTTTTGGCAAGGGATCAGATGTAGGGGAAAGTGGGGTGAGTTGTGCCAGTTTTTACTCAAAGTGACTTTAAAGTGAGGCCATGACAGTAATGCCTTCAACTTAAGGATGTACATATATTTCAGGATGTGGGGCATCCCTGAGAACAATAACTTTGGATCTGAAACAAATTGTTTCAGAAATATAGCTTTTGGGGAAAAAAGTGGTCTCGTGGCACAACTTGCCCCTGGTGCGGAGTAAATTGTGCCTTTGGGGGAATACGTTGGGGTAAATTGTGCCAGTGATTTCTGGAGTAAAACAGAACATTTTAATATTGTGAACTGTAATGCTATATGAAAGCAAGACAAATTCAATACAAAATTACTCATTTAAGGTTTATTTAGATATTGTCACCCTATTAAACTGTTGGAATAAGTCATTTAGTAGTTTTTGGGAAAACACAAAACTTAAATACACAATATGATATTTGTGAATCATTTCAGACAAAAAGGCTTTGGCAATAGATGCCTGTTGACATACACAGAATGCTGTCTGTCAATTATGTAACATAAGAATAAAGTGACTAGGCTAATTTCTAAACATCCTATTGGGATTTAGGCCACTTAAATACTTAATAAAACTTCTCTTTAATAACTTGCTAAACTCAAACTGAAATCAGTGTTAGCTAAATTAAACAAATGGCAGGTAGGCCTAAATCAAACACTGATGAGGCATGCCCATCTCCTCACTTCTCCAGATTATCCCCTGTGGGTATGTAGGTCTAGGTGGTCTGGATCTGGCCTACTACTTAACATCCCACTTGTCAATGCTGCAGGGGAATATAAACTTCTGCTCCCTTCTGGCTGTACCACCAAGTTTTTGGGGTGTGGGTAATCTCTTGAGCACATCACCTCTAGGGATGACTCCTTCATCATTCTCTTTAAATGTAAAGACGTTTTTTCCATCCACATACTTCTTACAACTTGTATGTAACAATGTACAATTACAAATTAATAATATGTTGAAAATAATCATAAGTGGGGGTGAGTTGTACCACTGGCACAATCACCCCAGACCCACAAGTTTGAAATACTAGCATGATCCAGCAGTTGAGAGCTAACATCATGCTAACTCTATAGACTCATTGTTTAGCCTGCTAAAGTACTAAAACATGTGTGAAATGTTTGCCAAACGTGTCTATAATTGTTCAGACACTATAATCAAAAAACTTAATCATAGAAATTTTACTTTGAAAGGGAAAAAACAGTTTTTTGAGCTAAAATGTGCTTACCTCTCATGCCATGTGTCTCTTTTCTTTGGAGGACGAGTAAAATGGATGGCTTTTCAAAATTATGTGGTGACATGACCAATTTCTTCTATGGTTTTCCAGAAACAAGGGGTGGATCTACTTCCCCCCTGGCACAAATCACCCCAACTGCTGCGGATCATTCAGTCAGTCATCAGTGACAGCATCAAGCATAAACCAGTTGCAAAGGTATTGTATTCCTTTGGTACAAGACGCCTCTTTGACCAGCCAACTAACAGAAACACTGTCAGCTGGGATTGGCTCCAGCGCCACCCCGCGACCCTGTACGCAGGATAAGCGGTTGACGATGGATGGATGGATTTCAGTACCCCCAAACTAATCAATTACTTTGTATCAGGTTGATTTTAAACTGTGAAACGTGATTCGAGACTTAGAAGCTGGAAAAGTTTGATTAAAAGACCACAATATATTTCGAAACCGATATGAATCTCATCTTCTTTGTCCTATCGATGTGTTCTGGGATTGTTATGCTGCGTTCCAGGAAACTCGGAATTGGAACCTCCAACTAGAAAAAGTACTGTGGAAAGCATCTTTAAGTGGAATTTCCTACTTGTGAACTCCGAGAAAAAAACATGTACCGCGACTTCACGAGTAGCAGCTGAATTACGTCACAAAACAATGTCAGCGCCCATGGAAGCACACACTGTAAATGGTAAACCATAAAATAAAAGGCAACAAAACGTATATTTGCATGTATTTAAATTACAATAATACATACGTATGTCATATAGTAAAACCTGTTCTGCATGTACATTGATGTAGAAATATGTTATTAGGTAGCTGGCTACAGTAAAGAATCTCATAAAGTCATCTTCTCTGCATAAAAATTATTATTTAAAATGCCAAAAGATTAGGAAGTGTAACCTACAACACTGTCTTGAGGATTACCAACTGATGTAGCTATCGGAGTCCACAGTTAACTAGTAACTTATGCATTAAAACTGCCATCCTTTTAATTAACATCTAAAGTACTGCTGATGGTGCAAGTGTGTGTACACTGTGTCACGGTCAGCCATGGCTTTCGTTCACTTTCGGCATCATGCACCACCATGCACCTGGAATGCTTTTAGGTTGGGAGTCGGATATTTCAACTCGGAAATTTCCCAGTTCCGAGCAGTCTGGAACGCGGCATTAGCACAGTTTCCCTTTCCTCTCAGCTAGTTAGGTCTAACGTTAGTCAAAATGGCGAGCCTCATGTAGGGGTCGAGTGTGATTATCTGTGACATTTTCATCACTTTTAGGGAGTTAATTTTGTTCCTGTGCAGCTTTCCTAACAAACATGTTCGCAAACATAGCTCTGCGAACTGTTTTGAAATCGTCGGCTGGTGTTTTGCGAGAAGGCGGCGCTCTGTGCTCTGCTTTGTCCGCGAAACCCTCGACATGCAGCTCGGCTTCATTGTCAGGACTGAGAGTCAGCTGTGGTAAGTGTAAGTGACAGAACCCGAGGAAGCCTATAAAATAGAATTAGAAATAGAATTTCATTATTCCTGGCTGTTTGTAACGTCTGTCCACATCTAGCTAGTTAGCTAACACCAACAGCAGTAGGCACCGTTGACAGAGAGCTGCAGAGACAGAAACGAGAGTCACAGTATGCCAGACAACATAATAGCTAACAGTTTTATGGAGATAAATAATGTCTGAATTTCATTTAAGCACATTAATTAAGTGTGGACAATGTGGGCTTTCCCCCACAGAATGCCAATGTTAAGTATTTAACTTAGCCTAGTTAACTTACATAGCTTGCACTTGTAAAGTTAGTAAACTGAAAATGTACGTTAACGTTAACACCCAGCACAGCCAACGATTTTACAGAACTCATAACGTTACGTAACTGTTAAAAAGTGAAACATCAGCACAGTAATTTATCTTGTAAACATACACACATAGACCACAAGAGTAAAAGGATAAAGAATAAAATATATGTCAGTTAGTCCAACAGTAAATTAAGTTTGCCTCAGACAGCAAGAATGATGGCTAGCATGTCAATAATTACAAAGCAGGTATAAGCCTTTTAACTATTGCTCCAATAAGGGCATTTGGGGAGTAGGGTAGAGAATAGATTGTCTGTCTGTATTTGCTTGGTCACAGATTTACCAGTCAAATTAAAAGATAAATCAGCAGAAGTTTAGTTTGTTTCTTTGTTTTTAACTTTGTTATGTGTAGGCTAGTAGACACAAGTGCAGGGCTAAGGTGGGAGGAGACTGGAGTAGAGAGAAGTGGAATATTTACTGCAGAGTTGAAGGGATCAGATATTGAGCCAGGGAAGAGCGAGGTAGAGCTGAAGACTATATGTGCGCAGAACCGGGTTGCAGGCTTCTTTGCAGAGCTGGTGGAAACCATAGATGAGAGTCCAGAGTGTGGGAAGCAGAGCTGAGCAGGTCCAGAGCAGAATCTGGGGATAGTTGAGCCGGAGGGGGTCCAGGGAGAGCAGATGGGATGAGCCCACTTTCTAATAATGTAACTAAATCAACAAGTTATTATGCAGTATTTACTTTTAACTTTTGTTATAGCCTACTATTTGACATTCTGCAATGGGCCAATCGTTTAACTGTCTTCATTATCTTGTTTGTTGTAGTCTGCTGTTGACTGATTCATTTTAAAATGTAGGCTGTTTGAATATTCAAGTCCTAAAGTTGAAAATCGAATACCTACCCAACGAATGAGTATGTGAAGATCCCAGTCTAGCCCTAAACCCAATATGACCCATATGTGCAACATCCTGCAGATTTGTTATTGCAAACTTCACAATGTGTTTATGTGTGTGCATCTTTGTCTGCTAAATCTGATGCACCATCTTGCTTCATCACAATCATATCAAGAGCCTCTACTTTCATTTCCCACCTCAAGTCTACTAGAATGTGATGACTTGTTTTCACACAGTTGCATACTATTTTCAGCTCACTGGTAGTCACAGATGTACAAAATCTTCTTTTACAGGCCCGCCTATGTGCAAGTTGGCCGCTTCTTGCAGACCACTTCCCTCCTCAAATTGATGACAAATGCAGTGAAATCACAAATCCCATGTCAATCAATAAATGAATAATTTCTTAACCCAAAGTCAATAATAATAATTCATTTGGTTGGGTTTATAGTTGATAGACTGAGGAGAGTAAAACACATAAACAGCATGCTCTATCAGACTACCAATATAATAAAATGAAAAATAGATTGCCTTGCAAATGAGTTTTCTATTTTACATAATGTTAACCAACAAGAAGAGTTAACACTTTGTGAAAATAGTTCTAATGGACGGAGAGCACTGAGACACCATAACAGCTACAGTGGACAATGATGTTAGTTTTGTATATACACTATATTGCCAAAAGTTTTAGGACACCCCTCTGAATCATTGAATTCAAGTGTTCCATTCACTTCCATGGCCACAGGTTTATAAAATCGAGCATCTAGGCATGCAGACTGTTTTTACAAACATTTATGAAAGAATGGGTCACTCTCAGGAGCTCTGTGAATTCAAGAGTGGTACTATGAAAGGTTGCCACCTGTGCAATTAGTCCATTTGTGAAATTTCCTCACTACTAAATATTCAACAGCCAACTGTTAGGGGTATTATAACAAACTGGAACTGGGAACAACAGAAACTCAGCCACGAAGTGGTGGGCTACATAAAATCACAGAGCGGGATCGGCGCACAGTGTGCAGAAGTCGCCAACTTTCTGCAGAGTCAATAGCTACAGACCTCCAATCAACGTGTGGCCTTCAGATTAGCTCAAGAACAGTGTGTAGAGAGCTTCATGGAATCGGTTTCCATGGCCGAGCAGCTGCATCCAAGCCTTACATCGCCAAGTGCAATGCAAAGCGTCGGATGCAGTTGTGTAAAACTTGCTAGAGCAGTGGAGACGGGCTCTCGAGTGACGAATCACGCTTCTCTGTCAGGCAATCTGATGGACGAGTCTGGGTTTGGTGGTTGCCAGGAGAACGGTACTTGCCTGACTGGGCCAAGTGTAAAGTTTGTTGGAGGGGAGATTATGGTGTGGGTTTGTTTTTTCAGGGGTTAGGTTTGGCCCCTTAGTTCCAGTGAACGGAACTCTTGTGCTTCAGCATACCAAGACATTTTGGACAATTTCATACTCCCAACCTTGTGGAAACAGTTTGGGGATGGCCTGTTCCTGTTCCAACACGACTGTGCACCAGTGCACAAATCAAGGTCCATAAAGACATGGATGAGCGAGTTTGGTGTGGACAACTTGACTGACCTGCACAGAGTCCTGACCCCAACCCGAGAGAACACCTTGATCAATTAGAGCGGAGACTGCAAACCAGACTTTCTCGTCCCACATCTGTGCCTGACCTCATAAATGCACTTCTAGAAGAATGGTCAAAAATTCCCAAAACCTTGTGGACAGCCCTGAAGAGTTGAAGCTGTTATAGCTGCAAAGGGTGGGCCAACTCCATGTTAAACCCTACAGATTAAGAATGGGATGTCATTAAATGTGCATGTAAAGGCAGGCGACCCAAAACCTTTGATAATATAATGTAAGTCTGGATTTTCGATGGAGGAATTAAGCACCAGTGTTTTGAGGAAATTGCATCATTTAGTGTTTTGATTATATTGATATTGAAAACCGCTGTTATCACACCACAAGATAAATGCGTAGTTGTGTTTTATCAGGGCTGTGTGGCAGCCATGTTATCCAGATTATCTTGGGTTGTGCTCTTCGTGTCACGCACTTTAAACATGTTGTATCATCATCCTGTTAATTTCTTCTGATAGGATAGAAGAGAAATGTTAAACATGCAGCAATGGAGACAGGATCTCATTCATGCTAAGTGGCAAATAATAATTTCTGGTTTTGGGTTTGGTCACTAGCAGAAAGTTTTTTCCACATGCAGGATGTAAGTGAAAATCACTTAGACCGTACTTCTGCTCAGATCAAAATTAAGTGAGGATTCGATCGAAAGAAAGTTGGCCTCATCATCATCAGACTTTTGTCTACCTTGTCCCCTTGGTGTCTGCTATTTAGTAGCCTCTTCCCCAAACTGAAGGACTAATACAGATGTATGTTGTACAGATTATGTTAGAAATCTTGCTGCCATTTATTTTTGGGCTGCCAGTCAGTGAAATCTTTTAGAACAGGGTCTAGTCCTACTTACAATGATGTCAAATGGGGGCAGGCACTCTACACTCAAAGGGCAGTATCATCTTGGAATATAGGCGTCTGTGGTCCTGGTCCTGTAAGTGTCAATACTAACTTTAAGTCCTATTTATCTTCCTTGCTATTATGTTTAATTAACCCATTGGAATTAATAAGAAGATGGCAGCATTATTACAGATTGACATGTTGAGTGGTGAAGCTATCTTAGATTTCTTTGAATATGACTCAGTATTGTTTAAACAGGCCAGGGCCTAGCATCACAACATACTGTTGCTACACTTTACTATTGTCTAGATTTAGATTTCCTGTGCACATCTTGATATACAAACCTGCATTTTGATTGAAAGTGTGTCACAGAGAAAAAAAAAAAAAAAGAAAGTGTGCCACAGATGTGCTGATTCAGTTCTATAGTAACTTCGACTGGCAACCACTGATCCTTTGCTGAGCCCATTTGTTGTGTGTCTGACAACATTAGATCCCATTCCATCACCTATTTTTCAGGCTTCAACTGCTCAAATTAACTATGATCTCTTAGTTTTATTGTGGTGTTTCCATCATTTTGCCCACTCACTACACATTTATTTTATTTATTTTTTCTCTGTTCCTCTCTCAGTTGCAGGAGGCTTTGCTCTTCCACCACCAGTTAGACATTATGCTCGGGCTGCAAAGAAAAAGAAGACGGGTATGTTATGAGGCTGCGTTGTCCACTTTGTGACATTTTTGAAGTGCTCACTTTTCATCCAAACCTGTTTCTTCCAGGCCCCGAGAGCCAGCTCAGTGATCTTCCACCAACAATGCTGAAGATGGATTATGCAGCTGTACCCCTCGCTCAAATGTAAACAAACATGCATACACTTACATGAAATGAGTAAATATTTTATTTAGGTTAAGTATTCACTGTGCAGTCCCCTCCAAAAGTGTTGGAATGGTAAGGCAAACTGGGTAAGGGGACTGTATATCCATTGTAAGTATGTTCACTAGATTGATAATCTTCTAACACTATTTTTTAACAGGAGTGATGATCTCGTCAAAAGACTTCTTTCGCTGGAGTTAGCGAGTCATGTGAGTTCACGTGTCCCCACAGATCGCCTCGTCATGTTTTTTCTCTACCTCTTGAAACATGCACTGATTTGCCACTTAAAGAAGTCATAAACATGTAGTTTATTACTCTGTGTGTGTTCACATCTTCAGAGTGAAAAGCTACAGCTGAAAAAGGAACAGCTCATTGCAAAAGTCCAGAAGGATGAGAATGACCGCAGCTCAGTGGAAGTTCAGGGTGAGTTGCTTTACGTGTCGCATATAATGCTTTCACTGAAATTAAAAGATAGGATAAAGTGTAGTTTAACTGTATGTTGATTCAGTCCCCCTTTAAATGTCTTTTCCTTCAGTGGCAATTTTGACTGCAAGAATCCGAAACTATCAGGAGCACTTGCAGAAACATCACAAGGTGAGTTCCCTTGCAAGCTAAACGGGAAGATAAGATGTTCCTTTATTGATCCACTGTAGGGGAAATTCAACTTCATTTTAAACAATGAAAGTAGAACCAATAATCAAATCAGAGTGAAATATGTAAAATATACATACACATTATATACAATGAAAACAGAATATGCTATCCTTGTGTACATCTGTACATCTGCAAAGGAAGGCTGTGGACAGATTTAATCAAAATTCTTAGATGACGTAGAATGCCACAGGGCAGACAGTTGACTTGCACCACTAGAACATTCATGTATGAAAGATGTATGTCTCCCCACATTTCCTCTCTGCCTTCCTCTGTTGTAAGGCATGCGTGTTCTACAGGATATCCTGTGTACTCCCCCACATTAAATAAGGACATGAGTAACACGGTCATGGTTGGAAATTTCCAAGTTACATCAAACATTTTTGTTGAAATTAACACAGGTAATTAGGTGTTTCCTCATAAGCCCAACGCCAGACTTTTATGTTTTATTTCATTCCAGGACAAAGCTAACAAGAGGCGGATGCTCATGGCCATTGACCGAAGGAAAAAGCTTTTGAAACACCTTAGGTTGGTTCGCTATGATGCCTTTGAGAAAGTGTGTGAGCAGCTGGGCATCACTTACACCTTCCCTCCAGAGTACTACAGACGGGCCACTCGCCGCTGGCTAGCCAAGAAGGCCTTCTGCATTAAGGTAGCAAACAAATTACACCATTAGTCTTTGTATGTGTGAATATGTATAATGTTTTTCTTTGGTTGTATATAATAATGGTATCAATTGGAGATTATATATCTATAAGATCTAATATCTATATCTTTCATTGCACACTAGTGAAGCAATAATGTGTATTGTGTCTGACAGCATTTCTCTGGCTTTGTGTAGGTTAACGTGTACACTCTTCTAACTTGCCAACATGTACAAGGTGTTATTTTGGGCCACCACTGACACTTGGTCATGTGCGTCTCTTCTCAGGTCTTCAACGAAGTGCAAAAGCAGAAAGCAGAGCAGAGGCTGAAGATGAAGCAAAGTTTAGCCTCCGCAAACACAGAGGCAGCCAAGACAAAAGCTGTTGACACCCAATGAAAGACAATAATAATGTATATTACAACATGGCATGTGCATAAACAACATGTATTGCCATCATACAATATTTGCTTTTGCTTTCAAGTTGATGTCAGAATTTAATGGAAATAAAATGCACCAGAAAGTTGTACCCAAATGTACTTTGGAAATCTTTTTGTACTGAAATATATGACTCTCAAGTAGATATGTTTAATATTTATCTGTACAGAACAAGTGAGGCAGGCCATTGATCTCACTTGTGCGAGGTATTAACTGAAATAAGGAACTCAAATTGCCAGATAATAAAGAGAAATTTGGCAGTCTGGCTACACATAATGGCTAAACTGCTGAATGTTCCACTGTAGGCTGCATCTTAAAGGACTCAACACTGAAACCTGTGACAGGAAACTACTGCTGCACTGCTCTGAATGTCCATTCTGTTGCACCCCTGGTCGTGATGTCAGCTGATATTTTTCAATCAGCTGTCTGAGGCAAAACTATGAAACTAATAGAATATTTAGTTTAGATAGATTTCTGCAAGCCTTATGCAGAATTTGTGAGTTACCATTATGCCAACACTTGTCAGTATAACATCTGGTGACATGACAAAATTTTATGGAGCACTGATTGGCTTGTGGTCAAGTGTTTGTGGAAACGGGAGATAGAAACAATAACACCTGCACAATAAGATGACTTCACCACAAAAGTGCAGGAAATAAGACATATGAGAAGCTTATAATGTTCCATTGTTGTTGGCAGCCTAAGAGGTGTTGGTGAAATCAGTCCTGTTTGAGGATGTACTGATAGGGTTGCTGCGTTATAGTGCAATGGGTCTCTTATTTTGTGCAAATATCAAAAGGATCTTACAGTAATGTGATTTGGTACATCACCTCAAACTGTTGCCATATGGTCACGATTCAATTTCATATCCAATATGCTGGATAACAACAACAATAAATTTCAGAGATATAAGCATTACTAGTTTCGGATTGCACTGTATGTATAGGCTCCATCATCTTGGAAATGTCCAATCATCTTCCAAGTTATTTCATACTTAAGACTTGGAACACTGACAAAAGCAGCCCTGTACTCGCATGTAGTTTTGTACTGGTTCAAATCTAAATAAATGCATCCATTCTTTGAGAAACTGCAGTAGTGACATGACTTTGGTTGGTTAAAACCTCAAGCTGTATGACAAAAGGGACGTGATGCATTTGTGGTTGGTTTATGAACGCATGGTCTAAACCGTGAATTCTCTGAACGGCGCTAATCATATGTCAGATTGGAAAACCATTTAAATTGAAGCCATCACTTTTTAACAGATACATGTGCCAGTGATCTGTATCTGTTTGTGATTAAACCCTCTATCATCCTCAAACCAAAGTAGCAGTTCTCGTTAATGGCCTTTTTTGTCAGCGAATCACTATAGATGTTTGTCATCCTCAGAAATAGCAGTTTGTTGGCAAACCAGCATTTCGCAGCTAAAGCTCGTCACAGCTTCCTGTGTGGTGCGCAGCTTGTCAGTTTGATCAGGAGGAGTGCACACTGACAGACTCTTCTGGTAAGTGACACCTTTTTTTCTTCTCGCAGTAGATTAACTTAAGAATTCTCCGTTAATTTAGTTAAACTGATACTGCTCATAAACCTATTTGCAAAGCATTTATATTTTGTACTTTTTAAAAGTTGCACATTCACAAGAAATTATTTTTGACAGCATTGATACAAGATAACATAGGCTGTCACATGTTCTTTTGTACTTCAGGTTAAGTTATACCATCATATTCATTTTTAAGCCCTTTGTATGTAATAGTTTACATACATGGCTCATAGTATGATCATTCATACTTATCTATGGTGACATTTATCAGTCTGTGTCACAATAACATACTTTTAAATACCAGTATTATGATCTAGAACGGTCCTGATTAACTATAGACTATATAGTGATAAAATCCTAAAGGGAAAGAAGCAATCTATCTGAAATCTGCAATATTTACAATGTTTCAAGTCAAGTCTTATATTATTTATACATATACTGACATATATACATATTTTCTGAGCAATGTTAGTTGATGGGAAGCTAAGGTGTTATAAACGGGTTGTGTTCAGAAGGATTATCTTGAAACACGTTATATTTCAGGTTAAGATGCCAGAAATGCAAAACAATGATCAATAAATTAGTGTGTAAATCACAAAAGCTCAAAGCCACAAACTAGTTTCTTGTTCTGTGTTACAGAAGACGTCCATGAAATGTTTGTTGATACATTACATGCTTTGCAGGAAGATTTATGAAAGCTGATTGAGCTGTATAAATTACACATTATTTCTCTTTTAGACTAATTCTCCAATGGAGAGCACTAGCATATATTTATTATACATCTGAATCATTCTATGAAAAGTCAAAGTCAGGAAATTAATAGCATCACATAAAAGTACTCATGACAAAATGTGAAAGCAATTGTGGCACACGGAAAGACTGTTTTAGTCATATCTCCTACAGCTTTTCCACCTGACACAAACTGCGTTGTTTCTTTATTCCAATGCTAACAACTGAAGGTGTTCCTATAGGCAGCTAAATCAAAAACTACAAGAAATCCAGTAATCAAAAATGTCGAACCCAGTGGTCACTCATCAACCAGGTGCAGGCGGCTATGGGACAAATGTCCAAACAGGAGAGTGGAGCACCGGCCTGTGCTCCTGCTGCAGTGACATGTTAGTCTGTGAGTATCCTATCATTTAAGATGCTTAAATTTAACATTATTATTTTCCAAACACCAAGCACACACTCGGGCATTTACATGATTTTTCTCTTTCAAAAATTCACAATGAAATACACTTCTATTGTGTGCAGGTGCTCTTGGTTGCATCTGTCCAATTGCATTGAGCTGCTACACAGCAAACAAGTATGGGGAAAACTGCTGCTTGGGTTGTTTGCCAGGAGGCTTAACTGCCATGAGGACTCATATGAGACTGACCTATGGTATTCAGGTAAGTTACTAATTAATTACTGTACATTCAAAACTCTTTAGAAGACCCTTGCTCATGTTTTGGGTGGTGCTGTAAGTGTCCTACAGGAAGCCAGACCTGTTTTCAGTAACGTGGCACTTGCGACAGCCAGAGATTTCATGAACATGTGAAATGTTGGGTGTTCCCTGAAATTGAGAAACCTGAACTGCAGCTCATTTCCTCATAAAGGGTTGGTGTTCCATGTTGTGATTTTTTTACAATATTTTAACCACAGGGAACAATAATCAATGATGCCTTGATGACCTTTTGCTGCGGAATCTGTGAGACATGCAGGATGGCACGAGAAATCCGCATCAGGAATGGAGACATTTCGCCGTAACAAGGCATAAAGGATTCTGGCCCATACAGTATTTTCTCTTTGTTGACATCCAGCCATTGTGGAAGTAATTTGTTTATGCCTGTAGCAGGCCTAGCTTTGATAGAAACAACAAAGAAGGCACAGTTAATGAATTATGCAATTCCTGCCATTCCATAATTTTTCCTATAGTCTTAAAATATACCTGTGTAACAGTGTCACAAAGTGCTGTTAAAGTGCATTACTGTAAAGAAATTGCAATGTTCAATCACTCACAACATCAAAAATTTCGTTTAAACATGATCCATTGTGTATAACATTTTCAATAAAAAATATTGTTTAATGTTATTTCATTTCCTTTTAATGTAGGAAATTATATAGCAACTTAAGATATGATGATCTACATGGCGCTCAGACAAGAAAATGTGTCCTATGTGGATTATTTTGGTTATAATTAACCCTTTCTTAAACCATTTAATCACACTCTTTTTGGCTTAGTGAACCTGAACACTTAAAATAATGTGTGTACTTATGATACTTTATCACAAGGACATCAGGTGAGAGCATTTCAACAAAAGAGTAATTTCCTTCTCCAATTTTTTCATTAGAAGGATTTTGTAGAGGCTTGTAGAGGTAAAAGTATTCAGTATTTCACAAGAACAGACGCAAAATCAGAAACAAGAGAAGGATCTGGTGCCCTGTATGTTGGAACCACTGCTGTCACTCACTGTGGTGCAAGGTTTGTTCAGATATGATGAAAACACCATGCATAAATTCATTGAGTTTGTATGTTTTCTTTTTATTTTCAAGTCTCCTTTGGAGCATTTGCGATTTAATTGCATGTACAATCTACTGAACAAAGTCATACACAGTCGATACACACTGCGATACACACTGCGGTTATATTGAAAAATTCACACTGCCTAACCCCTTCCCTTCCATGTACGTCAGAATGCACAACGCTGATTGGTGTTTTTGCCTGTAGCAGGCCTAGCTTTCATGCAAACAATAAAGAAGGAGCAGCTAATGAATTATGCAATTCAATGTATTAAGTGTGATTTTACCTGTTGCCTTATAATATACCTATGTAACAGTGTGACGAAGTGCTACTGATTTGCATTACTGTAAATAAATTGCATTGTTAAATCAATCACAACATCATTAATTACATTTAAACATGATCCACTTTGTACAACATTTGCAATAAAAATGGGATTGTTTAATGTTATTTAATTTCCTTTTAATGTAGGAAATTATATAGCAACCTAAGATGTGATAATCCACATGGTGCTATGACAAGAAAATGTGTCCTTTGTGGATTATTTTGGTGAATATTAACCATTTCTTAAACCAGTTAATCCCAATGTTTTTGGCTTAGTGACCTGACCACTGAAAATAATGTGTGAACTTGTGACACTTTATCACAAGGACATCAGATGAGAGCATTTCAAACAAAGTAATTTCCTCTTCAATTTTTTCATGAGGAGGATTTATAGAGGCTTGCAGTGGTTAAAGTATTCACTATTTCACAAGAACAGAAGCGTAATTAGAAACAAGAGAAGGATCTGTTGCTTTGTAGGTTGGAACCACTGCTGTCACTCACTGTGGTGCAAGGTTTGTTCAAATCTGATGAAAACACAATGCATAAATTCATTGAGTTTGTATATATTTTTTATTGTCAAGTCTCATTTTCAACATTTGCGATTTAATTGCATGTGCAATCTTCTGCACAAATCAGAAACAAGAGAAGGATCTTTGTGCCCTGTAGGTTGGATCCACTGCTGTCACTCACTATGGTGCAAGGTTTGTTCAGACACATATTGCGATTTAATTGCATGTGCAATATGCGGCACAAAGTCAGGCCAATATCATTCACACCGCCTGACCTCTTCTTTTCCTCGTACGTCAGAACGCATATCGCTCTGATTGGCTGTTTGCTTCGTGGCCTGGCAACCAGAAGAGGCTTTACCCAACAGACAGACCCCCTATCGGCAAGCTTTCCTGCTATCTACAATCGCTAGCCAGCTTACGCTTTCAGGAGAGATTCAACCACCCAAATACCATCATGTCCTCAAGAACACTGCCTCTGCTATTCATCAACCTCGGCGGAGAAATGTTGTACATCCTGGACCAGCGGCTTCGAGCTCAGAATATCCCTGCTGACAAAGCTAAGAAAGGTAGCTTGGCTAGCTTAGCAGCTATCCAGATAACAACACAGATGTCACCCTGCAGAAAAACGTCGGCGTTAACTTACGCTGCGATAATGTTTATTCAGTCGGTTTGTCCTTTTATTGGTTAGTGAATTGATAACAAGTTTCTGTGATTCAGAAAAAGTCCATACAAATGCAAGGCGAGAGTTAGTTAACATAAATGAGCCATGTGGTTATTTTGTAAAGCCACATAGTTTGATAAAATCATAACTTACACAGACATTAATTAATGTCATGTCAATTAATGTCCCATTAATTTGGAGCCCGGGACAGATATCAATTCGTAATGCTCTATTGTCAGTGCATGGGAAACTGTTCTGTTCTGCCATAGGCTGTATATACGATCTAAGTTATGTCATTTTAATATGCAGCAACATTGGTCAAGTCTTGAGATGTCATTCATCAACCTGGTTTTCAGAACATCATTTCTCCTCATCTATCTCCTTTGAATTCATAACGTTTCCACAATAGCTGGCTGGATAGAGGAGGACAGAAGGAGAGGTATTATTACAGAGCTTTAGTATGATCGTGCACCGATGCATTAGTAGCTCTGCGCTCTGCTTTGTCCTAGACTGAAGCAACACGCTGAATAAATAATAGGACTTATAGACCTCATGTGCACAGATCAACTCACAACTACTGCGGTTGTCTCTGCACGTACTCTAGGTACATCATGTGAGTGGCTGGGTCACTCAAATGCTCAGGTCCTGGCCACAAACTTTATTGGTTATCGGGGGCCTTCATTGTATGGTAAGGTTTACAATGATGGGAGATGTTTTTAAAAGAGTGATCAATATTTACATTATTTATTCATCACATTGAAAAGTATTTCAATCTACCAAGTAGGCCAAAATACCACATGTGACGAAACACACACTATATTCCATAATATAAACACTACATAAAATTGTCCCTTACCTCAAAAAACTGCACGTATCAAGAAGCTCATCTGAGGTGCTCTGAGAGCAGTGTTTCATTTTTCACAGCTCCTTTTTTAGTAGTAGAGCTTCCTTATGGGTAAGTAGCCGAAAACACTACTGAGCTTTGCTGTGTTAAGCAAGTTTATTTTCCTCACCCTTGAGCCAAAAACAAAAAAATCCAGAATCTAGTTAATTTTTGGAAAAGGTGATCGGTTTGAGCTCTGACTGACATAACAATGATGGTGATCACTTCTGCCAAATGCTACAGTGACTGATAGAAGTAATCATAGCTCAAACACAAAAGTTTTCCTACCTAGCTATTCTGTTGCCCTGCTAAGTAGGACATATGCTGATGGCTTTCCATGCTGCTGCTTTATTAGGGTTGTTGGGATAGGCTTTGGATGAAATGGTTCTGGACTTGTAGAATAGATGCTCATCTGCCTGCTTCTGAATCTGAAGGTGTAGAAAGTACATTTGTCTAACCTCAGTTAACTTTTTGTGTACTTTTCTGTTGTACTGTTTGCCTGACTAGTTATGAATGACATCATCACCACCATGTTCAACAAAAAGTTCCTAGAAGAGCTTTTCAAGCCACAGGAGCTTTACTCCAAAAAAGCTCTGCGGACTGTGTTCGACAGGTTGGCCCATGCCTCCATAATGAGACTCAATCAAGCTAGCATGGATAAGGTCAGTCATTATGTGTATACACATGTAACCCCCCCTGTACAGCTATACACTGCATGGTATCCTGTGTGTGATGAATTGTTCAGTTCCTTTTTTCACTAATTTGATTTTTCACTTCAGTTCACAATGTTTATCCACACATTAATCACATTCTCTCATCAACTGCACAGTGATGTTAGTTTGTCTTACAGCCTCTTCAATATACACACTGGATTTGTACCGTATTAAAAAAAAAAAAAAACATTACTTTCGATCTGCACATCAGTCATTGTTTTATATTCACATAGAAGTGTGTAGATCTTGGATCATCATTTTGTTGCATTGAAACATGTACAACACTAATTCTGAAGTATAAAGCTATTCATATATTATATATTGTATGCTGCTGTGTATGGCTCCCTCTGCTGTTTATTATACAACAATATTCATTTTATTTTGATGGATGAGTCAGTGAAGTCATGCATGTATGTCCCTCTTCACAGCTCTATGACTTGATGACCATGGCTTTCAAGTACCAGGTGCTTCTCTGTCCCCGACCTAAGGACATCCTCCTCGTCTCCTTCAACCACATGGATGCAATCAGAGACTTTGTGAAAGACTCTCCCAGCATTCTCAGCCAGGTTGACGAGACGTACCAACTGCTCATTGAGGTATAACATGTGATTTCACTCTCTTCACGTTTGTTATGGACAGGAGTGGGTAGCAAAATAACATGTTGTTGGGGTTTCCTGCTGTGTTTGATCTTTGATTTTTTTGGTGGTATGTGAACTAGGTCTAATTTTAAAAAAAGCAGGATGCATAAGGCACCCAAACTTAGCTTAGTATACCGACGATCAAAGGAGAAAGAGAAACAACTTCAAATGTAAAACATAGTACAATCTTTTTTTTTTTTCAAACCAGTTATAATCATAGTCAGCTGTGGAGTACAAAACTGTCATTGCGAGTCATTACTTTTCCTCAAACAGGATTTTAAAAACTATAACTGTAGTACAACTTCTATGGCCAAGAAGAGGAAAGACATGCCAATGTTTGTGTCGTGGTTACCAAAAGTAGGATGAATGTCTTCATATCATATATATACTGACTCCAATAGAAGCATTTAATAGAAGGAATTTAGGTGGCAGTGAGATATCTGTAACACTAGGATAAACAGTGTTTCGAGTCAATATACAGCTGTTAATCATCTACTTTTCTGATTCAATATGATCAGCGATGTAGGTAATATATTATGCTGTCATAGTTTCAAACCATTTGGATTATAGTCACATACATTGATCTACAGTGTGACTGCACTTTATGTCAAGTGGCGTAGCAACAGTTATTTTTGGACATTTTTTGTTGTTGATCATACTAGGTTTAGGGTTAGGGTTAACCAACAAAGGAATATACTGTATACACACACACATATGCTAGATGTATATGTATATAAATGTTTATGTTTTTATATTAAAACCTTATTTCCATTTTATTATTTGTTATGTAGTTTATATTTTAACATTGCTGTTTTTTTAGATGTATACACCCTTGTCTAGTGGGGACTTCCAGCTGATCAGACAAACTCTCCTTATCTTCTTCCAAGACATGCATATAAGAGTAAGTCTATTATTTGGGCAAATTTGAACCATGGGGAGAAAATTAACTGGATAATATGAAGTTCTCAGTTGCTTTGTGTTTTATTTTCCTCAGAAGCCTGTCTCTCATGTTTTCTTCTACACCAGGTGTCTATTTTCCTCAAGGACAAAGTGCAGAACTCCAATGGCCGCTTTGTACTTCCCACCAGTGGTCCAGTGCCTCATGGAACACAAGTCCCTGGCTTGATAAGGTAACACAATATATGGCAGTTTTCACTCTGACCCAAATCTCCATTATAAAGAATGATGGAGATAAATAAGACTGAGATTAAATAAGTGGCTTGGATAGTAAAATGTACCTTTTGGCCCTTCCGATCATCTTTAATGTTAACCTGTTTGTCTTTCATATGTTTTCTGATCTTTCCCAGCCACTGTAATCTTACGTTAAGTAGGCCTATCTGCAGCTAATTGCATTACAGAGGTTTTATTGAACCAGCAATTACATTCTAATTTTAGATACGTTGTATGTTTAGCTTACTTAATGATTGTATGTGCACAGTGAAACATTTAATACATCAAGGAAACAAGAGCTCACATGTAGAACATTTAAATACATTTAAATATTCAATGTAAAATAGGTCTTCTGGGTTCCACTTCAGAGTACTACTTTCATCACAGGAAGAATCACAAGAAACTGGTCTGCATAGAAAAGGTACTGAAAGCATGCTTGTCCATAGTATTTTGTGTTTTTTTTTTATCTGGTAATTTCAGGATGTTTAGCTGTACTGGTGAAGAGGTGACCAGGCTGCAGTTCAGTAGTGGAGGAAACTATACCGCTGCTCTCCGGGAGGGATCTTTTGAGATATTTGGAGACCGGGTCACCAAACTAGGCACAAACATGTAAGACACTGAAAAGTACAGAAGATGTACATAAACACGACTTCGGCTGTATTTATGCAATGGCACTGCTTTGATAATGATTTTCTGTTAGGTAATATAGGATAGGATATTTAGAAGTACTAAGTCAAAGGCAGCTAAACTTTATGATGTAGTCTTGATAATGCTTTATCACTTATCTAAGAGGTCTGATCAGTTCTGCTGGCTATTGGGGAGTTCTAGGTGTTTAAACTTAAGTGATTTGATGTCACACAAACAAGCTATAGAGGATTAAATGCCTGGGACTTTCTACCATTTAGTAAAAGGTATAAAGTCTATTAGATGAGTAGACATTTCTACTACACTAAACCAGAAAGCCCATTAGCTTTTGATTCAGTAATCTTAATCTATGCCATGATAGTGGGTCAGTATGTCTGATATATTGCAAAAAAGCATATACTTTAAATTAAGCATTTGCAATGTCTTATGCAGGTCATCTTTTTTTCGCACGGTCATGGTTTCTTTCTCTCTTTCATTCAGGTACAGTGTAAGCCGCCCAGTGGAGACCCTCATGTCAGGAACATCTAAAAATTCTGCTCAGCACACTAAGGTAAAACAACTTCACTGACAGCACTGTAAACATTAATTAATTCATGTATACACAAAACATTTATGAACCTTAAGACTGGTTCTGACATGTTTGAACTCTTTGTGGTGTCCACTACATAACATGCAAAGGAATTTGGTAAAGTAACCCGGGTTCCCGAACCATATTCTACTTCCCGGTGCTTGTAAACAACAGGTACAGCACGTATAATATTGACGTAAACAAGCCATTGTGTGTCAACAGGTCAACACTGCTCCCAACCCTCTGGCCAAAGAGGAGCTGAATCTGTTGGCCAAGTTAATGGGAGGATTAGAAGTTCAGAAACCAGGGAATGCAGACAGCGGCTTCAGAGTCAACCTCTTTACCACTGACGAGGAAGAAGAGTGAGTCCTTGTATTTGTATTGTGTGCATTCGTGTTGTATGGCACTTAATCACATGCTACTGCTACTTTTCCCTGTGTGAAAAAATCTTTATTTGTGACCCTCTTTTATCACAGAGAGGCATTAATATCAAGACCAGATGAACTTTCATATGGAGTCATAAACATTCAAGCAACAAAGGTAAAGCTGAGATGTCTGTCCTCACAAAGTGTTTCTTTGAGTAGGAAAAATTAATGTTCAGTATTACTACATGAGTCTGAAAATCTGAGTTGCTGTGCTCCTCAAAGCAGTACACGTTTTCTGTCCCTGAATCTTGTCATGTAGACATTAGGGTGCACTAACTAAACAACTGATCTCAGACAAGGTGTATTGATTACAACATTACTCTAGTTAGAGAGATCTGGGACAGCAGTGATTGTGATAGTCAACAGAACCCTCTGGACATTATGTTTGTTTATGTCTGGCTAGTGATGGAGCTTGACTGGGGCCGGAGTTCATTGAGCCTTCCCTCCATCTGTTCATGCGTAATGCTAGTCCCTATCTTTGCCCCCTTTGCAGCCATGATGTCTCTTTTGTTTGGACTATCCAGTTTTCAGAGGCCTTAGTTTCCTCTTGCACTCTGATTAGATACTGCTCTCTTCCCATCTCAGACTCATCTCCGAGGTTCCTCAACTACAAGCGCATCTCGTTATTGGCTCTGATTAAATCAAACAAGTTTAAAAAATGGCACAACTTCTGAGAGAGCTCTGTGGTCAGGACCTGTCTCAGAGTCATTCGAACTATAGGGACCTGTTGTGATGGGCATGAGCACATACGGTGGCCCTGAAGTGCAAACCACAACAGGAATTCGCCACATCACGATAGCATTTCGCCACAGATCACGCATTTCAGCATTTCACGACAGCATCACGACAGAAAATCTCCACATCACGACAGCTGGTAGGTAATCTACTGCAGTACCTACCCTTTCCCTTTCAGTCTCACCAGTGCTGTCGTGTTGTGGCGATTTGTGGCGATTGGCTGTCGTGTTGTGGCGATTTGCTGTCTTGATGTGGCGATTTGTAGTAGTGTTGTGGTGAATTGCAATCGAATTGTGGTGAAATGCTGTCGTGTTGTAGCGATTTGCTGTTGTGTTGTGACGATTTTATGTTGTGCGAATTGCTTTTGTGGTTTTCACTTCAGGGCCACTGTAAGCACAGATTTCACGCCAGCTTCAGGGTTTATGTCTCAGATCTAAGAAATGTGTATTGGATAGGCAAAATGTGGCAAAATTATTTTAGGCTTCATTGGCCGAACCTGAAACAACTGGTCTTTTACTCATGATAATGATCTTGCCCAATTTAACTTATCTCAATGAAAAGCTTACGGTTATATGTCAATAATCAGAGATGTGAGGCTTTGCCAGTCTGACAAGATTTACTGTAATGAGGTATAAGTCCCTGTAATGGCCACTCTGGCTCTTTCATTGGTGGATTACATTCTCTTTTAGAACCAGCAAGCCAATGCAGAGCTGGCCAAGATCATGGGAGAGTTCACAGAGTCTGGCGATCAGTCTCCCAGTGCCAGCAGCAAAGGAGATGACCTTCTGGCCATGATGGACGGCCTGTAACGTGGTCACCCTGACAGAAATGCCCAGGGGGTGCAGCACAATGCATCGTCAACAGTCTGTTCTACCGAGGACCAGTCTGCTGTCTGTGCCTGCAAATACACAGCAGCAACCTCACGTGCAGCCAGAAAACCTTCTTTGGGTGCTTTTCAAAATGCAGATGTGATCAGTTTCCATTGGTTCTCAAATGACCAACTACAAACTGCAAATTTGAATAGCTAACAATTAAGAATGTGGCGAGCCAAGCTTTAAGCTGCAATACACTGTAATGGTATGTTTTCTGTAAACTGAAAAGAGGTTCAGTACATCAAACATACAGTAGGCCTATATCAGTGTTTTCAACATGTGTATGTGGTAATTGCAAAACATCTCTTTGTAAAAAGTCAAGATTTTGCATTTTTCTGGGTCCGACTGTGCTGCTGCACGCAAAATACACATTCCTTTACATAATTTATTTTTAATGTTAATAATACATCACAGTTTTAGATGATTTTCATGCTTTTAGTCCCTAATTTCATGTTTGTTTGTTACACAGTATTAATTTAGAATTTGTTAGGTTCTGTATTCTTCTGTATTGTTATAAAAACATTGTTAAATGATATTGTGGGGAAATTGGATGAAACCCAAGTGCTCTTTATAATTCACATTCCCTCAAATCTTTATTTTGGTAAGAATTATGTTTATTTTGCATCACGCTGTACTACCTTAAGACACTATGAGGAGCAACTTGAAAGACATTTTTCACTACAGATGTCTCTGAATGTTGAGCTATGGTCCAGAAATTTGTTAGTATAATATAGAGTAATGCAATATAAGTTATTGTCTAATATGTAAATATGTTTATTGCATAATTTATTTATTTGAATGTAACATTGTCTGTGTATAGGGAAGTGCATATTGCTGCAGTTGTTAAATTGTTGAATACAATGTAAGATTTTTAATAAATAGCTTCAATAAAAAAGGTTCGTAAATGCATATTATTGTATAAACTGCATCATTGGCTTCGGGTACTGATGCAATCCAAATGGCATGAACCTTGTAACAGCATGTTGTAGTTGAAATAAATTAACAGTAGAGGGAGCTGACTAACCTTTCTAAACATCACTTACTGTCATGTACTGTCCAAACTGAGGACAACACCTTGCTACAGTGCTGTTTATTATGCACTCATGTCTTTTTTTTTTTTAAATGCACCAAAAGGTGATGCATACTTATTTCGCAAATTCACTTGCCTTAGGAAGGTAGGATTCACTGAAATGTAAAACAACAAATTTGTGATTGATTGTATATCTATTTATACTTACATATTTAACAACCAAACCAGAACATTAAATGCAATATGCTTCACAGAACTACAATGAGAATTGCTATAGCAACAGCATTCTGCACCCAAGATATCTGTGTGCAGTCTGCTTGCAAACGGGTTAAAGTGAGATTGTTTGCACTCCCCCAGTCAACCATACTCAGACAGACACACACACAAACATGATGCATACCATGCAGGCTAAACATGTTGGGACATTACTCTGAATTGATCTGGGGGAGGAGGATTCCAGTGAGGTCTTCCCAATAATGTTGGCAAAGGAGACATCAAGTGCCCTGAGGATACAACCTACGTGCAAAACAAACAGAAACCAGAGCTCACACCAGCCACCCTGCAAGACTGTTCGCTGGAATCAACCAACTTCACAAGAAAACAATATTTCACCATAAAGATATGCCGAATTCCCTATGTATATTGCATAACCAAGATAATTCTATTTCAGTGGCATATTCAAAAGCAACGCAGATGTGAATTCTAAGATAGTAAATAATAGTCACTTATTTCAAATAGATGTTTCCCTTACAAAGTGTAAAAAGTGCTGTATGGGGAAGATGTGCAGTGCTTGGTCCATTAAGCCCACAAGTAATGTTACAAAAATATGAATTTACAAACAAAAAAGTATTTAAAGTCCATTCAACCTTACTTTCCCTTAACATGCCAAATAAGCCACTAAAACATGTTTCTCTCACAAACGCTGTATTTTGAGTTATGATTCAGTTTCCTTTTTGAAGACTGTGGGCAGGACACTGTAAAGCCACAAGCTGACAAATGTTTCATGTGGCCGGGGGCATATGCTCTGCTGAGTCAAGGCAGGAAGACTAGTGCAACGCAAACAAGTCTCTGCCATTTAGATTGCCCTCTCTGTGTCTATCACACCTGCCCACTGGTTTGAAACTGGTAGCTGTGGGTGTAATTTAAGGTCAGTTGGGGAGTCTAAATTGGGAACATAGGTGGGCTTTACTAAATGTCACTGTCATTAAAACTATGTTTGCTGAGTAAAGGAGAAAGAACTTGACTTTTTAGTGAGCTGAATCAATGGTTGTGTTTAATGGCACTTGTCTAATAGCAATTTCAACACATCTAGCAGCATCTCAAGCATTGTCAAAAACTGAAAATCGAATGCTTTTATCAGATGAGTGCTAGATGAAGTAATTGATCTGAGTCTGAGGTTAAACCGAATAAAATGCAATATGTGTCTTATGTGTTATAAAGCAACTACTTTTTGTAGAGCCTTATATAACACAACATTTTAACCAATAGCCAATGTGCACAGTTACTGTATATTCAGTTTAGCTGTAGGAACAGGTAAGTTTAATGGTTTGCCTGAAGAGAAATGGCTATTTTTTAAATGCGATTTAAGTGGGACTGAAGATTAACTTAATTTTCACGCTATATTGCTCATTATGTTAAAGGGCTTTTTTTTTCTTAATTTCAGATCACTTCTTATCGCTGGATGATTATAATATTTATTTGTGGACCTTTGTGGACGACAAAAGACGTTCTTAGTTTGTAATGTTAATTGTAAGAAGTTATGCTCTGTCTGACAAATGTTTCTGGTTTTGTCTCATTGCCTGGGCAGTTATTTGCAGGACACAAATAAAAAACTAACTGCAATAGCACTTAAACTTTACTTTAATGTTTCAAAACATCCCCATACAGACAACTATGACGTAATGTGTTTCATTTTGCAACTTTTATAGTGCAAAGAATTTCATCATCAGCGCGAAACCATTTACTAGGAAAAAACAGATAGGTGTTGACATTGGTCGAGCGCAGCTGTCAATCAAATAAATGTGTGTGCGTCATTTCCGTTGTCAGGTGGCGCTGTCGCTGTGGAAAGATGCGATCAGCGAAGAGCGGAGGCTTTTCCTTAATTGCTCATTTCGGTAACAGAGCCTCAACAACGCGAAACCAACCCTCTGTGGTCGCTCCTGTTTAAGAGACACTCCGCATACCCACCACAGCGTGTACCCAAGAAATGTCCATGTTATAAGCAGACAACGCAGACATTACCCGGCGGTTTTGGCTCGAGGTAAGCGAGGTGGCGACTACATTGCTATAGCTTTCGGGCAAGGCTAGCCAGCTGTAATGTTACCTACTTTGTTTAAATGGCCTCCCGGCTGTTCTGTAGCGCCCGGCTTGGCGTTAGCTAACGTCGCCCGCCAGCAATCATACTGAAAACTCTCTAGCACATACGAATCCACGCTAATGTAGCAGTAACCTAGCTAGTAACGGCTGCTCTGTTTAGTTTGCACCGAAAGCCCAACTCCTTGTTGTGTTGTGTGCCCCTTTGTGTGCCTGAAGCTTTGGCAGCGTCTTCAGCCGAGGAATTCAGTCAGCTTTGTTGTCGTACTAAGTTTGTGTGTGCACTCAAGCTTTGTTTTATGCTAGCTTGCGTAAATATATGTCGTGTAAAAACAGTTAGTTGCGTTTGTATTTATTTAAACAACCATCTCAGTCAGACGTTGTTACATCAACGCACGCCATGTAACGTTAACGTGGTTTAGCGTGTGTGTTTTTAAACGTCTCAGGGTGGTCAACTTGGAATAGTTGTGGGCAAAACACATTAGCATCTGGCTACACGAGTTATTAGCTGTCTGTGGAGTGGTTTTGCACAAGGTGTAAGGCATAACGTCAGCGTTTTACTCTACGACTCGTCTCGTTTACACTTATCGCTGCCAGAACTGAACGGTGTCCAGACCTTGCGGTCGCAAAATGGCACCAACAATGTGTGACAGTCTGCATGCATTTGTAATTATTTTCGTCTAGCGGTTTATAATGTGACCTTGTGTACACAGACGTGTTGTGGACGTTGTTATTGCAGTAATGTGGTCTGCAGTAAGAGGTCGGCTTGATAGCCGTTGATGTATGAGCTGACATGAATGATTGACGTTTCATCCAAGCAGCAGGATAGAAGCATTTATGACCTTCGAGTTGCTTTCACCTCTTTGTCCTGACTTTTGTGTTTGGTGTAACGTTATATGTGAATCCATTGATTTGGATCATACTATCTCGCTGGGTTTATGTTCGCTCCAGATTTTGTTATCCACTTTGTTTACTACCTACTCAAATATCCCTATGCGTTCATTGTACATCCTGATATTACCTTGATTTTTGCAATCAAGCTGTTCTTGCAGAGCCAGACAAGTGGCATGGAGTCTGGGTGGGTGGATCTTGAGACACCTACATGGCTGTTTTGTTCTGATACTATTTAGGGAGCCCACATTTCCCGTGGGCACCGGCAGCGTGTCTCTCCTCCTTTTTGTGTGATATGATTCAGAGGCTGTATCTGTTCTTGTCCTCCCTGTGGTACAGTCAGAGGCAGAGGCAGTCTTGCTTGCCAGATCACTGGCTGTGCAGAGAGGCACAGCAGTGTCAGAAAAGGATAGCTGTGTGTTGTCATCACACTGATGTCATTTAGGTCAGTGTGCATCAGTTGGTTGCGTTGACCTTTGCTTTTTAGATGTGTCAGGGGTTGGCTCTACAGCACTGCATCTGGTGTTTAGTAGGTAGATGAATAGCCTTGGGTTCATTTGTTGTGTGTCGTGTCGCAGTGTATGTCCATGAGTCACTTTGGTGTTACAGTCCAAGGTGCATGGATTAGATGGGGTGTTTTTTTTTGTTTGTTTGTTTTTTTTCCCTTCTATGTAGCTGTAGAGAAAATAAATGCATAAAAGGTACAATCACAGATTGCACTTTTGTTAGAAAGGCCACATATGAAATGCCTGTCAGTTTTGGCTGTCTGCTTATTTTACTCAATCCAGCAGCATTTGTAGCGCTCAACCAAGAATTAAAAATGTATTTTTCTGGCAGCACTGAAAGCAGTATGTACATTGTCAAATCTGCCAACCACTTTTGCCGCTAGATTATCCATTGCTTTGCCTTGCATGACTCTAGAGTAAGATGCTTTCTTACTATTTGCAGCATGACTTGGTGTCACTCTGGCTTGTGCCATAAATGCTGTCAGAAAACCTCAGCTCATCAGACTCAGTGGGTGATGACTAGTGGAGATGGAGACAGATGGGCGAGAGACACGATGATGACACTGTCTGCTGTCTGGGATCACAAAAAGCCTCATGGAAGTGAGAATTCATACCAGCCCATACTGACTGCCAACTGTCCTGCCTCCTCTCTGCCCAAAAACGCCAACTGGCGAGTGGCGCACGATTAGTTTTGAAACAGGAAGATAGCCCAATTCATTAAAAATATGAATGTTCTGTAGTTTGTCCACTGCTTACATATTCTGAAGTATTTTAGCGTTTGTCAGCTCTCCATGTTAGTTTGCAGAAAATACTTTGTTTTGGATTTTGTTAGTCTGAATCACCTCTCTTGTGTAGTGGGTTAAAATATGCACACCAGTGCAATCATTCACTGACATTTTAACTTCAGATATGTCACTTTGTGTTCCTGTGGACTGAACATCTCTCAGGTGATTTTTTTTTTCTTACTTACTCTTTTGTCCTTTCCCCCCAGTTGATGTGATTCATATATCAGAGTCTTGGGGGCACATTTTATTCACTTATTGGTGTCTTCACCTGGACATTTAAGCTTTTCTGTCCAATGGAAACTCAGGACGACAGCAGAATGAATCATTCCTGTCGGTTCAAGGCACTACTTCCCTGTTACGGGAAACAGATGAAGGTTTCATCACATTGGAGTTCAGTATCAGTAAACAAAGCATACCTCTTGCTCTGAATCCTGTGAGTTAGATCTGCAGTGGCAGTTAAAGTAGTTTATGTAATGATGACGTGTCACACTGTCACTGGTTCTTCTGACATGTAAATCTTGTTTGTTGTTAAAGTGAAAGGGCTTGTCATTTTTTATGTTTCAGCCTTGTTTGAACACACGTTCTTTCAGAGGAAGGTCTGCGCAGATAAGCTGGCTGTACAGATTTTGAGATAAAATGGCAGATTAAAGCGGAAGGATTGTCTAAACCCATGTCCACTGTTACATGAAAAGCTAAAAATGGATATGTGGTTTGGTGCTGAAACACAAAAGAAATTCTTCTTTTTAAAGAATTGTGTGCTGGTGCATTACATTAACATGAGAGTATTTTCCATTTAAATTGCAAATTGTGGTACATTTGCATTGCCTGTTGGGGAGATTGAATCTGAGGTGTCACCATTGACACCAGCAGCCATCATTCTGAATGGAGCTGTAATGGCCTCATATTCACACTTAAGTGTTGGTAAATGTGTGGGAGGGATATTTAAAAAAGGCAGGGAGGAGCTGCCCTGAAGTTTACCTCCTTTTGGCTTCTGTTCACTAATCAGTACGCTCTTGACCAGCCTGTTAGGACCACTAGTTGCTTTCTGCGTATAGTTTGTTTATAAGCAGACTATTTATTTAACCATTGTTTGGTTATGGCTAACGGATGCTGCTATTTTTTTGTCATCAGTTGAGCTTTTGCATTCCACATGTATGCTCTTACTCTTTAACTTCACTATCTTTAACCCGTGTATTAATCTAAAATATTCTCCATATAGATCCCCAGTATGTCCAAGCGGCGCTCGTCTGACAGGGGGGCTGGAGAGGCATCAGGCAGGGCCAGCAAGCTACAATGTCCTGGGATATCTGGCAATAATGCCAAGAGAGCTGGGCCCTTCATACTTGGTAAGGAAGCTACTAGTGTTTGCACTAAGCCCCAAAAATATGGTAATAGTAGTCAATATGTCTGTGTGGCTGAGATTGCATCTAGTGTACAATTGTTTGTGAATTTATGTAACGTGTGTGTGTGTGTGTGGGCAGGAAATCAAGAAAGGTATGTGTGTTTGAGTGAATGTGAGAATCGTGGGGTGCCTCTGTGCGTATGCACGCCTGAGACAAGAATGTGAAGAATTTTGCTGATCCCCATGACATTGGCCAGAAACGTCTGAGTGTAAGACATTAAGGCTAAGGAAAATATATTTCTCTCTCATATTCTTAAACTTGTATGTTTTCTACTACGAAACGCCTCCATTATTTGCAATACAGAGTGCCAAAGAAAACATTACACTAGGGGTGTTAATGGGTACGTGCACATGCAGCTTTTAATGAGTTGCAGCGAGAGCACACACTCCAGCATGTAGCCTGCCTTTTGGTCATGCAGCTGTTCCTTTTTCTTCTACTTGCAGGGCCTCGCCTGGGCAACTCACCAGTGCCCAGCATAGTGCAATGTCTGGCCAGAAAGGACGGCACTGACGACTTCTATCAGCTCAAAGTAAGTCTGTTGGGGTTAACACGTGATGAGTTAAGCACATGATTCATAGACCATATCATTATAAACAAAGTTATGATGTCCTAGTAGACATCTGAACCTTTGACCTTCGTTTGTTGGTGTTTATTTTATAGCCCCCTGTTTCAGTCTGGCACAAACAACAAAACCTCAGCACTCTGTTTATTGGGGCTATCCAATCCTGAATATGTGATTCAAGGGAGGGGGCTATAGAAGGGGGGCAAAGGGAGAGTAAGGTAGCACCCCACCTGGAATGTCGACTTTTAACCCTCACAACCATGTAGTGAGTCAGTGTGTGACCCTTCCCTCATACCCGTGACTACAGCGCCTCAGTGTCTGCTGCACAGCTTGTTTACTGCACATTAGTATATGAGCCACTATTTTAAACGGATAGTAACTTCTTATAGTATGCTAGGCAGATGTAAGTTAATGTCATGTCACTTAAAAAGCTTAGTGTCAGGACCAAAGATTAGCTTCATACTAAATGATTAAACTTCTCTTTCCGTTGTCTGACCCTGTTTAAACTCTTGTCACCTCTGATGTTGACTCTCTTCTTGTGTGTGGTTATGGCAGATCCTGACACTGGAGGAGCGGGTGGACTCTGCAGGGGAGACTCAGGAAGAGAGACAGGGGAAGATGCTGCTGCACACGGAGTACTCCCTGCTTTCTCTCCTGCACAACCAGGATGGGGTGGTCCACCACCACGGCCTATTCCAGGTAGACCGAGACACACATTTGGCAATAAGTTACATTTCTGTTGACAGGTGTATAGTATATCATCAGTAAGATAATGAATATCATGGGCAAAAAATAAGTATTTTCAACGGTTTGTGGTGTATTACTCAGCACTGTGTGGGCGAGTATTCTGAATTATTGAATGCATCAACATTGCCATGGAGAAGTTTCTGTCACATTCTCTTCAGTTCAGAATATGGCATCACCATGTCAGTACAAGTAACGGCATGCTCTTATCAGCTCAGCAATAGCAGAGGTTAGCTTGTCATTAGTCCAACCAGCTGCTAGCATTTTCTCTATCAGGAGTGCTTCAGTAGAAAAGTGGGAGTACCATTAAAGGCCATATTTATCTGCAGTCGTTCTCTATTCACGGCCCCATCCATTCACAATGAGCACCAAGCCCCCCCCACCACCACCACCCCCCACCTGTCTTCCCGTCTGCCTCTAACTTTGTTATTGTTCTCTCCTCTCCCCCCGTCTCAGTTCCACTCTGCCTGTGTTCTCAGAATAGCAGCATTGAGCCATGCACTCTGATTCATTTAGGCCTGCAATATTGATTGAATTATTATAGTGCATCTCCACTGTGAAAGAACCAGTTAATAATGTACGCTTTTAGAGGTGCTGACTGCATCTAAAAAAATAAATAAAAACTGACAACCTGATACAGAAATCAATAAGAACTGGTGACTCTGCTAAGACTGGAGTTGGAAGAAGAGGGATGACCTTTTGTTATTCGTTCTCCGCCACCCTGTGTGGAGGGGTAGATGTGTCTTATTCACATTGGTCAGCCGGTATAGTACAGGAATCCATTCAGTTTGATGCATTAATAGATGCCTCAGCTTATATTGATTTGGATGCTGTTGGAAAGTGCCTCTAATGTACATCCACGTCTCTGTCCACTTACAAAGTAAGCATATTTTGTGAAGATAACCGCTCACACTTTGTTGTTCCCCAGGATCGCGCCTATGAAATAGTGGAGGATATGGAGGCCAACAAGGTGCGCAAGATGAAGAAGCGGATCTGCCTCGTGCTGGACTGCTTGTGTGCTCATGACTTCAGCGACAAGACGGCAGATCTAATAAACCTCCAGCATTATGTCATAAAGGAGAAGCGACTGAGCGAGCGTGAGGCCATCGTAATCTTCTACGATGTGGTGCGTGTGGTGGAGGCCCTACATAAGGTGAGTCTATGATGAGTTTTCTCCTAAAAGCCCAGAGTCCACCCCAAAGGGAGTTCCCATCTCCCACAGAAAACTCTGCTCTGAACTGCCTGAAAACAGCTTGTTTGTAGTCCAGCCTTTACTTCCGCTTTCTTGTGATGTCACAAGAAAATACGTGCGATAATGCTTGCTGAGCGACTAGTCTGACACGCCCTCAAACACTGGTGGAAAAAACACTGAGCTGCAGCACACCTCTCCTCTCCCTTCCAAACACTAGCTACCCTCCAGGCAGTCAATGGACATAAAGTTGTTACTGTGATGTAGAGACAGAGCTCAGTTAAAACTTTATGGATGAAAGATACTTTTGTTTCAGATTAATAACTCACCACTCTGAAACTCTTGCTCCAGTCGAAATTACCAAGCTGGTCGGCAACAAGTAGCCTACAGCTGAATCGAAGCTGTTTACGGTCTTTTCGCTGACTCGCCTTTCTCTGCTTCTGATTGGCTAGTAGTCCTTAACTAGGAACTGCGCATGTGCAACTCCCAACAAAGATCAATTTAGAGACAGGATGCATCACTCCAGAGCTAAAACAAGAGGAGCTACAGCCATGTGCAGTATGACAAAAAATATGGTGTGTGGGTTTTTTTATTTTTTTTTTAAATTAAACTATGTAAATCTGTGCTGGTACAACCTCTAAATAGGATTTTGAATCTGAAAATGACCACACTACCACCTCTTTAATCAATGAAGAAAGCCTGGACTACAATGTTTTCGTCAATTGTAGGAGAAATTTCTTTGTTAGCTAGTTGCAGATCCATTTCAATTACTCATCTCCCATCTTTGTGTGCCTCTCTCAGAAACAAACTGTTTTTATACCTCTGATTTAACTAAGCAAATGTTTTTTCTCCTCTCCACTTTTTTTCCCTGCATGCAGAAAAACATTGTGCACAGAGACCTCAAGCTGGGAAACATGGTGCTGAACAAACGGTAAGATGAAACGCATGCACTCATTCAGCCTCAGTTAGCTGTCCAATAACCCCTCCCCATAATAACAGATCAGTCATTTTAGCCTGGCAGTAAGTCATTCTTTCTCAGCTCACGGTGTGTGAAAGGCCTCAGCATGTATCCAGTGTGCATTTGGCTTTAAACTCACATTTTAAGAGTAAGATCAGTTGTAGGAACCTGAAGCCTTGCTCTTGTGCCTGACTCTGGGACCGTATCTGTGTGTTGAGTAAAAGCTGATGATGCATTCCCTGTGGTTGGATTTTTGGAAGCAGAGGGTGAAATGGACTCGGGTGCAAAACAGAGCAAAGAAAATGCCATTGCTTTGTTCTCAATGGGAGTGTTTTGGGTGGGTGGGTGGGGAGTGAGTGAGTAATGTTAGGATCCTGGTGAGTGCAGACCAGGTCAGAGTGCTGCAGTTCACAATAGGCCCTGTAGAAATCTACTCATCTGGACAGCCCTCTCCACACACTATATATATACAGACTGTATTAGAGAGATGGTTTGTGTTTATTCAGGAGGTGAAAAGTCCCTCTCTTAGCTGCTACTTTCTTTTTAATATGAATTTGTCATAGTTCTGATGATTCAACCAGATTTTGCATTTGAACCCATGGAAGGTTGCCCCTGAACAGCAGAGGTTTGCGCACATATTCTTAGACTCTGATAATCATCCCACAGAGCAAGTTTTTCCATTTGGAAGGACACAGCTCACACACACCTTCCCATCCAACATACCTGCATCATGAACAAGTGTAATCTTAGCATTGTCTCACTCCTCATCCATGATCTGCATGTCTGAATATGTGCATTGAGATGTCACATTCCAGGCATATCCCCCCCCCAACCTGTCCCCACCCAGCAGAGCAGCAGCAGCAGTAGTAGTAGTGGCGGTGATGAAACAGAGTGTTTTGGCCAGGGGAGGAGGGTGGTGAGGAGCAGACGAGCGGAACACTCCGTCCCAGCTGGAGACAAAGGAGAGGCCTGCCAAAGGCCCCATAGCTCAGAGCTGACTCACACTGCAGTGCATGTCTCGCGCACGCACACGCGCACATAGTCATCATTTATTTACCATCTACTCTACTTTTTCTGTTTTATTTTACACCCCATTCCCTCTCCTGCTTTCATTGTCTTTCTGTTTAATCCCATTTGTCACATCCCTCTTTTTCCCTGTCTCCTTTATACATCACATGTTGCTTTGCTTGCATGTTTCCTGTCAATCCACCCCGGATGTGTATGAATGAACAGTCAGTCAGTATGGGAAGGACACGGTCAATTTAGATGCAGACCGATCCCAAAATCCCCTCTCCTCGCCTGCTGCTTGTCGTCACTCTGGGAAATGCACCAAAGCCATCAACAAGCTCAGCAGTTTATGCAAGAATGATGTGATTTCCTTTTGCAGAGCCAGCTGTTATGAAAGCAGGATGTCGTAAATCAATCTGCAGGGTCTCTGTATGTCAGAGCTGTTGACTTTCAAAAATGTTGTATTTATAAGGGGACAGTCGGATATAGACACACCACAGCAAGTTGTTCTGTTTTTTGTCTTGTTTTTATTTATTCTAGAGTTCCTATTAGTTTACATCACCGTACCCCCTGTACTGTTTCAGGGAAGGATTGCCCCTTCTGACTTGAGTGTGGGCATAGTGTTTTTTTTGTTTTTTGTGCTGTTTGGCACTGTTCTGAGAAATGAAATTTGCTGCTCTCTGTAGAAGTTGCCCTGCATTTAACCTCCTTTCTCGTCAGCTGGTGTATTTTCAGCAAAATGTTGTAGGCAGGGAGGGGAAGTCATAGGAGCTGTTTAGGTTTCTGGTTTCCTCTTACCCGTGGTCACATGACCAGGAAGCAGAGATGGTGTGGTCTCTCTTTGGTCCTCAGGGACCCTTGCAAACATGCAATTTCATTTACCCAATCTCCGGTGCAAGAATAGAAGCCTGGGTCGTGATGCACACAGACAAAAGAACAGACTCCTCCATAAAGGAAGCTTTTATGTTAAGGGTCCTTGAAGCATTGAATTCTGTGCCTCTGGACCATCCATGTGCAGATCAAAAGGGCACTGTATGGTTAGAGACTTGGATCACAAAAAGCTGTTGAAGGGGATCACACAAGTAGCTGGAAATTATGTGAACTGAGTGTTCTAAGGGAAGATTGAGATCGGAGCATTTGGTGGAAAATTGAGTGTCTGACATGAATTGGCTCCAGACACTATAACGGGAGCAATGAGTTTCTGTGGAGTAGGGTGTGAAAGTGAGAGAGAATAGGGGAAGCTGTTGACCTCAGGCTTTTTAGAAAGCGGATGTGGGTGAGGAGCGTGATCCAGAGAGGACCCAAGTTCTAGACTGTGGCTGCTTTTGTGTGCGCTCATGTGTTCTTGAGTGTATTTGTGTGTGTGTGTGTTCACGATGATTGTGTGGGTTCCCTTGAAGTTGCGCATTTGTGTACATATTTTAAATCTTCGTGAGCTTTATATATTTGCTTGCCAGCCCATCACCATGCAGTCTTAGTCATCGAGACAATTATCCCAAGCCACAGGTTGACTCATGTGTTTGTCAAAGTGCTGCTTTTTTATTTTCTCTTTCTCTATCAAAAGAATGCAGAGATATAGAACAGTCCATAGTCCCTCTGCTTTAATACTGTTAGGTTTTACTCCACCACAAGCAAAATAAATTTAAACCTTTTTGCAATGCAGAGTTGAGTGTAATAATTCTCACATAGGTGCTTTTCCTTTTTATGATCTCTTCAGTTGTGATTGGTTTAGATTTCATAAAAGAGCACTTCAGACAATAGATGATTGTCTATTAGGTTGGGCAATATGACGGGGGGTGTGTATACTGTGCAGAGGTACAGATGTAGCAATACAGTTTCTGCTATATATTCGGGCAGGCTATGTAGCAAATCAAATCTGTCTGGATTCTCATGATATCCCGATATCTCTCATTGCCTCACGTGTACTCAAATGCACTGCAAAGTGTGTGCGTGTAAAGTTAAAGTGGAGAATGCGGGAGGCAGGGGGGTGTTCATTAGCAGTGGGAATATTTGATTGAAAATGTATTCCTGATTCAAGGGTTAGGGGTAATTAGAAGTATAAAGTACTTTATCAGGTGTGTTTGTGTGTGCTTAAAGGACTCACCGAATCACCATCACCAACTTCTGCCTGGGAAAGCACCTGGTGAGTGAGGACGACCTGCTGAAAGACCAGAGAGGAAGTCCGGCCTACATCAGTCCTGATGTATTAAGTGGTGAGTGAAAAACAGATGTGTTGCATGCATGTTCTCTTTTTTTTTTTTTTTTTTTTTAAAGGACTATATGTACATCCAACAAGGTGGTTGTCAGTCAGAAAAGTGCTGAAAAGCCCCTTTTAGTGAGATGCAGTCATGGGGGGGTCAGCATCACCCAGTTTTTGTCACTTTCAAAAACTGACAATTCAACAGTCACAACTGTTGTGCAGCGACTGATCACGTGTGCACATGTGTTAAAACCTTCCTCATTGCCTTAGATTTGCCACTTTCTACTTATGTGAAATATGGTTGTGAAGTGTTATAACTGCAACTACTGTTGTGGTTAGAGTGACCCATGTTGATCCGGATCCAGATGGGATCCTGGGATTTTTTTTTTTTAAAGAGCATTGCATAACGTTAAGCAGTCAGTCTTGTGTTTGATTTTTCCAGTTATTAAGCAACAAAAAAGAGATTATGTTGCAATCTTGGACTGACAAAAGCTAGGAATAGCTTCTTTTTTTTTTCTTTCCCCATTCTTTGTGTAATCACAGTGATGTTGCATTTTCTCATGGTGTGTTTCTGCAGAGGAAGCTACTTTCCTCTTTGCATGAAACATTTTCTTAATCTGATAAAAGCAGAATCCCATTGTTGTTGTTATTTAGCTTCACTATGCTAATTTGACAGAGTAAAGACCTGAGCACCACATACCAATCAGGTTGATGCTTGACCATGCACTTCCATCCATTTTAAACACTGATTTCCAGAACATCCAGGACAGTGCATAAGATTGAGATGAATCATTTCAAACCGAAATTATTCACCACCACTGTAGATAAAACCCGGGCGTGTATATCAGCATAACGTGACAGGCACACAATTAAACAGAGCTTCAGTGACTCACACACAGATGACTCACTGGAGGGAAGCTACTCCCATCTACCCCCATCCCCTCCCATCCTGTGTGTGTGTGTGTGTGTGTGTGTGTGTGTGTGTGTGTCAGTCGCAAGCTTTAACATAATTGCCTGCTGTTGCTATCGCCTGCCTAGCTATAACAACACTGCCTATGGTTATGCACAGCCATAATGCTCCACCCTCACCAGCTCCAGTTTATTCATCACTGATCCATGGCTGATGTAGTAGCTCAGTTCTCCCATTTTAAAAGTCAGCAGTGGGCTGGAAATTTCTAGGAAATGCAATGGATGTGGACTCATTGCATGTTTTGTTTGCTCATCTTGTTAATCATTAGACCTGGTGACTTGACAGGAATTGAACTTGTGAAAAGGGTTGATCACCCCTGAGTCACAAGGCAAAAACTGTCATTGCACTAAACAAATGTTGATTTCAGCTGCTGTGGCTTATCTGATTTGGGATTATAGCAAAGCACTTTGATATCGGACAACGTGGCACTTGAAATGGTGACCACAAACACTGATCGTGATCCCCTCTCCTGTCTCCAGGTCGGCCGTACCGTGGTAAACCCAGTGACATGTGGGCTCTTGGTGTGGTCCTGTTCACCATGCTGTATGGCCAGTTCCCCTTCTATGACAGCATACCTCAAGAGCTCTTCCGTAAGATCAAGGCTGCAGAATACTCCATCCCAGAGTGAGTACTTGGACTTGAGCACCAGTACTTGTACTGACGATGTGACATTTGGAGATTTATTCAAAGCAATTGAATTGAACTGCTCTGACAACTTATTTGTTTCTAGTCCTTCATAATTTTGAAACACAGAATTACATGAACTGTAACTGGTTATACTGACTGCAATTTTGCCAGAGTGCCCACTCAAACATATTGAATCATTGTTTATATGTTTTTACTAAATGTTTTTGCATACTCCAGTCTGTATTAAGATTTATTTTATTTATTTTTTTACTGCAGAATGTTGGCTGATTAGTTACCATACTATAAGTGTGGGCCTGACTAAATGGCTGTATAATCTTTCAATAGTGGCTCTGTGGACTCATGTGGTCACATTTTGCTAACAAAACTGGCCCTTTCTGTTCTCCACCTCCTCACAGGGACGGCCGTGTGTCTGAGAACACAGTGTGCCTGATCCGAAAGCTGCTGGTGCTGGACCCTCAGCAGAGGCTTACTGCAGGAGAGGTGCTGGAGTCTCTCAGTGCAATCATTGCTTCATGGTAATTGCTCCCCCTGCTGGATGTTTGGAAAAAAAATGCATCAAATGTGTTTGTTCTCAAGTCATTTATTGTTGAAAAGCTGAGAAATAATTGTAATGAATTTGGGTAAAATGAGTTTTCCACTGGTTGGCTTCACACTTGATTGATTTTTGATTTTGTATGCACTTGTCTGTATATAAAGGCATCATTTTACATACAGTGATTCCACATACAGAAATTCCACAAATTGACAATCTTATGTTTTTAATAATCATCCTTGTTGTGTCTTCCTAATTACAGGCAGTCTGTATCATCGTTGAGTGGCCCTCTGCAGGTGGTGCCAGATATTGATGATCAGGTCCATCACCCAGAACATCTGCAAGAGGTACATTATTCTTAAAACATGATAACACAAATCAGAATATGGAGCCTGTCGGATGAATCCAGAGTGGCTAAAATAAGGCTACTTGATAGAATTCACCTTTTTTCCTTTGGTTGGCTTGGTACTTCTCAGACAGAATTTTTATTTGAGTTAGATCCGATGCTGTAGCACATTTAAATGGTACCTTTTCTTTACTCAGGCCAAGGTGATAGAAGAGTCATCACAGTACGAGTTTGAGAACTACATGCGCCAGCAGCTGCTGTTGGCTGAAGAGAAGAACACTATCCATGAGGCCAAGAGCTTTCTCACCAAGCGCCAGTTTGGTAGCATCCCACCTGTAAGGCGTCTGGGCCACGACGCCCAGCCTGTCAGCCCCCTAGATGCTGCCATCCTGGCACAACGTTTCCTCCGGAAGTAGTCCCCAACCAGCCATCTCTGCCTCTCTGACCTCCCCAGGGAGTACAGAGACCTGGGGAATCCAGAGAGGACTGAGAAGAATTAGTCCCCAAACTGAACTCGCAAACAGGAGGCCCAGTCAGAACCAGGGTACAGATGGCCCCATTTGCAGATGGGCTTTGGGCAAGCTAGGTGGAGCAGGCATGAGGAGGGCACCAGAACAGAAGACCAAATTAGACTTCAGTCCTCATGTCTGGATCCTCCAGTGAAACGCAGAAAGCCCTGGAGGAAGATCTGAACCAAAGGTTCCTTGCCCTCAGGTCACCCACAGTCAGATCTCACTGTGCAACCAACCTGAGGCACAGTCACAAGGGTGTGGCTAACACGAGGCTCTGCCTGGAGTGTTGAAGAGACAATTAACCCCATATTCCTCCTCCTTTGAAATCTCCTTACTGTAACACTTTCCCCATCAACTCTGGGTCCCCTGAGCAATACAGGACCAGAATCATGTAGCAACCCCTTCTTTTCCTAGTGGTTAATGGTGTTGCCTCAAGTCAGATCACCTGATCAAAGATGTCACTTCTCGATGCCCCCATTCCACCCTCCTCCTCCTCTGTACTGTTTTTTTCCTGAATCAAAAATGATCCAGACTAGTCCTGTCTATAACGCTGACTTCAAATCAATCTACCTCTCTGTCTCTCTTCTCTGTTGGTAAACCATGCTCACTGTTCTGAGACAAGGGATTGTAACAATGGAGTCTTGATGCCACCAGTGACATAAAGCATTAATGTTTTCTGTCAGTGATAATGCTTTGAAACCTTTTCAGTGGTTTCAAAAAAATCTGAATAAGCTTTTTCTCATTTACCTAAATAAGTAGCATTTTATCCCTACCTTTGAATTGAAGATACTGAATATCAAAGTATGTCTACATGCATCCTTTGATATTTGCAGAATTCATTGTCTCTATCTTTTACTCATCCCTGTGGATATTTTTTTTTTTTTTTTTTTTTGCATCTAGGCAGCTAGTGCGAGGTACCTGGAAGTCACAATGCCAAGACCTGAATGGGGGAAAAACTGTTGGATCCTCCCTGCCAAGGCATATTAATGGTAATGCTTCCTCAGTGCCATGATGGTGAAGATCAGGCACTGTCATGTTTCTATTGCCAAAAATCATGTCTTAAAATTACTCTTAGCCAAGGAAACTGGTACCCACAGCCTCATTCAGAATCAAAGAGCTTCCAGGTATTCCAACTTTCCTGTTTCTTTTTAGATCAGATGACTGATCAGATCACAGGACAAGTGTTTTTCAGTCTGAATGTGAACGGTCATTCTACGCTTTGATACTTCTGCAGTGTCCATGAGAGAGTGTGTGTGTGTTTCAGGCCAGGCAAAATAAGAGCCTGCAGAACTGTCGAGCTGTTAACCTCTGACAGTTGCAGGCTCTTTAAGCTATCCTCCAATCATTGTTCTGTTATCTGGCCTGCCTCAGTGGCAGACACTGTGAAAACCAGAGCAGGCTTTGCTAAGACGGGACTTGACTGAATGGTTTTGTGATTGCCATGAATGCTTTCTTAAGATTGGAAAATATCACACACCTATTGCCATTCTCAAGCCCTCTCTCTAGCTAAACTTATACATGCTTGTAGTATTTCACCATGGAGGCTCTCTATATAGAGGGGATAGCTGGGGTCTAGTAATTGATACTGTAATATTTCATAGATAAATGGAAAATACAGACTCATAGGTTTCAAGTTTCTTTGCTGGGTCTTCTTGGCTAGTGATGCATTCTTCTCTTTAATCAAAGAGTTTCTTTAAACCATGGCAAAGCTACTAACCAGTGACTGTTAGGCATCTGTACACTGCAACTTGCCTTTGCATTGGTACCTGCTTTAGGCTATCTAGGCTTCTTCTTATTTATATTCAAAGTCATTGCATGAACATAGGCTCTGGAATATTTTCAAATATCTTTTTTTCTTTGTAATTTCACGTAGATTTATTTATCCCCCCCCCCCAAAAAAAAAACAACAACAAAACACTGGGGCTTGTATCACAGACTATGATCGTAGTCTGTCAAAAATGTCCTTTGAATGAAAATATCCTCCAAGACATTGCCGCAACTGAAACGGGCCCCAAATCTTTCTGCTCTCACAGCTTTAAGAAATGTTAACTCCAACCGTGGTTCTCATTTTGATCCTTTCTTACCACATTCATTCAAGAGTAGCATCTGTTGTTTTTCCTTTTGGATTTCTAAATCATTTTCTTGCCATTTTGCCACAAAGTCTGTGGTCAACTTAAGCTACACTAATAACGAGACTGACCTTTGCATAGTTCTATTTTTTACAGAAAAATGATACTCGCACATTATCATGATGTAGGGAGTTTTTTAAGTGTTTTTGTTTTTCTGTCCCAAAAAGTCTCCACACATGGCTGCACTCTCTGGTCAGTATGTAAATATGTACTATCATGAATGCGCCAGTCATATTTTATGTAGTTCCACCCAGTGAGATACCGACTCAGTTTCAACACATGCCGATTGACGTGCATTATAGGCCACGTTGGCCATCAACCACCACATCTGGAGGCTAAAATAATATGTAAAGAGAGCTGTTAGCTTTCTCCCACCTCAATGTGAATTCCATGGGTATACAGCAGTATTGTAGAAGTCTAGGTTGTTCATCATAAAAGGGTGTTTCATGAACGCCTTAGCCATTGGTGAATGATGACATTACGTGATCGTCTGTGGAAAGTGTGTTAAGCCATCTTCCATGACGCCCAACAGCAGATTAGTAACTAAATATTCAATACACCGTTGATGTAGATATTATTCTCAGCCCCCCACCCCAAATAAAGTTTTTCACTTTCTAGCTAGTGGATTGTACCACAGTCAATGTTTGTTTTACAGAGTTGTATTTGGTAGATTTCAATGTGGACTAAAAAGCATGGAAATGGTGTGAGGTTAAAATTTGTAAAACGTGACAGTTGCATGATTTTAAACTTGCAAGGTGTGCCAGAGCAACGAATAGAGAATTTGAAGACAACTTACTCCTTCGCGTCCTACAGGAAACTACAAAGCAAAATGGGTATACCCTTAATTGGATGAGTAGTAAAATGTCGTAGTTAATTTTCAAAATACTTTTTTTATTTTTTAGATTTTCACCCTGCTTCTCAAGTTGTAAGTCGTCAGTATATAACCAATATATTGACTGTTTCACCTGGAAACTTGGTGTAAGATGTGAAACGTGGTGTAGTTTAAACCCAATGGGATAATGTGTTGTAAGCTGCTTGGTCGGACATGGGCATCTAGATACAGAAAACTGCGTTATTGTACAGATGAAAAACACGTTTGTATAAAAAAACATATTTTTCTACTTCATCAGATCTCTACATGCATGTCAGCAATAAACTTTGATATGGAAACATTCAACTTTGGCATGTCTTTGTATTTTGACACTTCCTTTTGTTGCCAGTAGGTGGAGGACTTTCTTTAAAAATGGAAAAAAGCCTGCAGTTGGAGTGGTATGTTATAGTATTGGCACTTGTAGGACATTATACTCTATACTCAATGCGCTCTTGTTTTTTTGTTGGCTTACACATTTCTCTGCCAGATGTGTACAAAACAGTCTATAGAAAATGTTCAGTTGTACAGTGCCAGCCATCTGTATGCGCTTTTACATGAGGGTGTCTCATTTCTGAGGGTGAGACCTGTATGAAGCATGAACAGAATATAGAATAATTGAGTCTGTTTGCTTGTATGCCACCTCAGTCTCCTGCAGACTCTGCAAGCACCACGGGACCCGGTGGGCAACTGCTTATTTTTTTTGTATATCCCATTGATATACACCTAGATGTATACTGTGACTCCACATTTTACCAGAAATATTTTGAGCATGAAACTGGCTCCCACTGAATAAAATTAAATCTTTAACCCACAATCACTGTGGCATCGATGGTCAAATAAGGTGATCAGACCTGTGACCTACTCCATAGATCACTTTCGGTTAATAAGTAATTACCAATGGCAAAAATGCTGTGCTGACTGACCCAATAGAAGAATAACAGAGTTTTGAGTAACCTTTCCCACCCTTCGGAGATCCTCACAAGTTTCATATGGGACTTTCCTCTGGATCATTACACCACTCTCCCAACATGTCAAGCTGCGTGGAAAAGTCTCAAGGGTCAAAGTTCCACAGATGCTTTGTCCTTGTAAACTACAACCAGCTGGCTTTGAGGAGGTCCATCCTAGATGTGTGTGTGTGTGTGTGTGTGTCTCTCTCAAACGTTTCATTAAGGATTACGTCAGACATCTGCAATTCTCTTTCTTAATTACCTTAGAGAGCATTACATATTCAGTTTCACCAAAAAAGAGTAGGCTTTCTCCAGCTGGACATGGATGACGAAGGATAAGCAGGGGAACACATTTCCAGATGTGTGTATGTAGCACTATTGTCATAGCTTTGTGTGTGTTTACACTGCTACCTGTAAAGTACATTTAATTGTTAAAAATGTTTTAGAAATAATTGCTTTAAGTGCACAGCTGCATCTGCTTTGTAGTTATTACTCTTTGTTTAGGTCTGTCAGTGTGTGAATGTGTCTCCAGCTGTGTTCAGCATGCTGAGGTTTTATGGTCTCTCCTGACAAGACACACCAACAAACACGCAAAACCCAAATTTATAAACATTTATAACATTGAGTAACAGATTTGTTCTCACGGCTGCCTAAGAACAGTCCACATGAAATAAGATGATCTAAGCAAACATCAGACTTCATATAGTTAAGTGGTTAGTAACTAGTGGAAGTTCAGCCTCTCGACATGTGCCTCTACTGGATAGTGATCATACAGTGTCTAGCCTTGTCCAAACTCCACTGTGTATACTTTTCTTACTGCTTTAATCAAGAAAATAAGCAAAGACGAGAGGGATGACTACTCTCAATGACCAAAGAATGTAATTTAACTTGTAAAGGCCCTTAGGAGTTAGAATGAACATTAAACCCAGGGATCATTCATTTATATATTTTTAGAGCCATACCAAAGGTGCAGGTAAAGTTTCATAATTGTTATAATCAAAAGAGTTTGTCCCCTAGAGAGCATGAATTTGCTCTGCAAGTCTCATGACCAGATGTCTGTTGGATTATAAAATATAGACATTTTGGTATTTCTAGAAGGAAACTGGTCTTCCATAATAAGAAAGTGTTCAACCTCAGAGTAGCATGAAAGTAAACTGCTTTCTATTCTTTAGACTGTGATATTTCCTCTGTAAGATTTACAAATTTTTGTGTCAATCTGGCCAGTGGTTGTCAAGATATCCTGCTCTGAAGCGTTGAACAGATTTGAAGAGGCAGAACACTGAACAAGCATTTGTTTCCAGTTGATACCTCAAGACTCATAAAGCAGAAGAGAAGATGAGATTAGCAGCATTATGATTTGTACTTACAGACATGCTGAACTAAGTTCATTTTTGTTGGCAAGCTTTTGTGGCCACAAAACAGGCCTCAAACTAGACTGTGCATACAGTTCCCATATGAACAGCAAGGAGGGAAAACATCTGCTAAGTCTTTTTTTGCTTATTTTAAGTTACTTTGTCTTAGTCTTGCTCATCCTATTTGAGTGTTGTTAAAAGAGATAGAAGATGTGTAAGGCTACGGTCAGACTGCAGGCCTTAATGCTCAATTCCGATTTTTTTCCCAGATCCTTGTTTGTTTGTTTGTTTGACAGTTGACATTACTGTTTAAATGTGGCCCACATCAGACTCCAGTGTGAACTGTCCGCGGCCTGAAAGTGACCCGCATGCGCAGAAGAATAATACGACGTCACACGCAGCACGCTGTTGCAGACTACAGAAGTAAACAAAGAGCCACAGAGGTTAGCTCCTGATAGCTCACGGGAGACTCCCGTTTTTCATTGTCCTCTCACGGGTCACATTTCTCCCAAATTATGACAAGTGTTCACATCTGGCGCTGTACAACGCAACTGCCCCACATCTCTCTCTGTCTCTCGTTTAATAATGGCTTTTTGTGGAGTTGTTTCGTTCAGCGCGGCCTGTCTACAGCAGTACAGCTACTCAAGTGACGTCAAAGTCGCATAAAAAAGTCGCGACCTGAGTGTCCAGACCTTTTTATATAAAGTCTATGGTCCAGACTCGCATTTAAATAGATCTGATCTGTCGGATTTGGATCACATATGGTAACTCATGTTCCATTATATCAGTGACTCTTAACATGATACCTTCATTTAAGACAATAAAACAAATGAGGTTACAAAACCACTAGTCCTTATATTCTTGCCACATTAAAGAGTACACCCTAATTTAGTAACAGACAGAGACTTTGTGTGGCTGTACAACTGGTGCCAGCAGAAGCAAAGACTTTGTTGTGGCACTATACACATGGCCTGCCCTACAGCAATGATCAGAGAACTACAGCACACTGACTAAATCTAATACAGATAGCCAGTTCGTCACAGGAAAACAGTTATGTCTCTCAGCACTTAAGTATATAAAAATATAAAAGCAAAAACATGCAAATTGTGAATGCCATTTCATAGACCTCAATAACAATTTCAATTTCAACCGCAAAGTTTGTCCTAATTAAATGACATAATTAGTTAAACATTTTGGGAAATATACTTAATCACTTTGTTTCCGATAGATGAGAAAATCTATACCCTTATCGTATCTGTGTGATGGTCAAGTACAGAGCTGTAACCAAGAGGCAATTAGCTTAGCTAGCAAAAAGACTGGAGACAGGGGGAAACAGCTAGCCTAAACAGCTAAACATGAACACTTCTTAAACTCGCTAATTAATTAATATGTAGCTTTCTCATTTGTTTAATACGTACACAAACCACTTTCTAGAAAGAACAAGTTGTGATTTAAGAGGGAGTAGAATTCTGCAGTTATTTCTAGACCAAAAGCATTTTTATCTCTTTTATTAGCTAGTATTTCAGTGCAGTGTGTCTCTATGAGCTATGCCCTGGCAACCTCACGTGACACACTCAGAAAATGTGTCTGTTGTTAAGAAATACAGCATGTAACTACTGCCAAAAACACATTAATTTTTTAATTTCTGTTTGTGTACAGATAAAATAAACAAGATACAATGTGTTAATTAGTGAGCTATAGGTAAAGAGTATTCTTTAATTCTGGACAGAACCAGGCCAGCTGGTTTCTCCAAGTGTCAGTCCTCTGTGCTCATGCATTATTCCCGCGATAATTTCTTGTAGTCACATCAAAATAAGGCAAAATTAGCAACTTTTACTGTGTTATAAATTTGAAGTGGTTTGTTACCAAGCGAAACCAGGTACAAGTACAGCTTTAATAGTTCCACAATTTGGAAAATACAACTTTCTTGCAGAGAGTTAGCAGAGCCAGGCTAGGTGTTTCCCCATTTTGAGATAATCACCTGCTCATGGTATCTTCATATTCATCATAGAGACATGCAAGCAAATAAGTGTACTTCCCAAAATGTCAAATTATTCCTTTAAATTGAATTTGTGTTAATATTGGATTTTATTTAGCGGTGACTTTCAGTAATGGTGGTTTATTTTTTATAGCCATTTTGTCACCAGTTAGTAGTTCTTTTCACCAAATGAGAGTTACAGCTGTCAAAAATTCCCACGATCTTCAACGTAGAATTAGGAGGCTGATGTGAACGGTGGCTGCAAATGATGACCTGAGCGAGCGATATGACGTGAAAGTGGCCTAAGCTAAGTTAATCATCTCCTGGCTCCAGCTCCATACTTAAATCACAGACATGAGAGTGATTTTCCCATCTAATTCTTAAAAAAGAAAGCAAATAAGTGTATTTTCCAAAATTTTATACACTGGTTACTAATGAATTGTTCTGTTCTGAGACTGAAAAGTACTCCCTTTTGTCATCAACAGTGTGATATATAATGTGGGTATGAATTTTACCAGAAAGTAGTATTACTAAAGACTCATGCAGGCCAAGGAATAACCCCTCTTACTCATAATCATCTGAAACCCATCAGTATGTAGCACATGATTGTTTACAGCTGCTCTATGTCTCTGTGTGACCTTGTCCTGTTTCTGTGAAAGAATGAAACACCTCTGTTTCTTGTCTCCTTTAGGATGACATCTTGGGACATTGATGCACTGTGTAATCAGCCTTCAGTGTGTTTGCATTTAATGTGATGCATAAGAGTTCTGATGGTATGTCCAGTCTTGCATATTTTGCCTACACATGGCTTTAAGAAATAACATGTGCTGGCTTAAATCTGAGGAGGAAGACAATGAGAAGATCCAGGCCAGCTGATGTTGGAGTATTAGGGAGTTAGTGTAATTTGCTCAGACACTCTTGTCTTTTTTTATACTATTTCTGAACTTTTTTCTTCCACTACATATTGAGCAAACTTACATCTGACTGAATTCCCTCTTCTTCTTTTGTACCTTTCTTTGCCTTTTCAATTCATCCATCAGGAGCATAGTGGGAAATCCAAAATGGCGCAAGAACGAGTGTGTCATTTTCAAACTGCCCGCTAACTCTGAACATCTGGTCCTAGAGGGAGGAGGGTGACCCTGTCAATGGGAGCCCTTGTCTCCCCTGTCAACAGCATGAGAACAGCCCACCACAAGGTGAACAAGGAGGCGTGTGTGTGTTTTAAATGTGTGTGTATGGGCTGATGCTATTCATACTGGAATGATGTTTAACAGGCATCGTTAAGACTCACAGATTCATGGAAGGAGCTACTGTAATTTGAATGGATTTATAAATAGGTTAAAAAAAAGACGCAGCAAAAGTGCCCTCTTGAATGCCCCTTCTGTAATTAAAACCAGATAATGTGCCCTCTATGGTAACCCAGTGTGCAAGGAATTGTGATGCAGTGCCCTCTAGGGGGTACCCTTGTATGAGGAAGTGATGTAAAGTGCCCTCCAAGGTGCCCCTATATGCAAACAATGTGAAGAAGTGCCCTCTGGGTGTGCTTCTGATGGAAGAAATGTGATAGTGCCCTAATGGACACCCTGGGTACCAATCGAAAAAATGTCATGCAGGGCCCTCTAGGGTGCCCATTTGTGTAAGGAAATGTGGTAAAGTGCCCTCCAAGGTGACCTTATGTGTTGTATGTGTTGGACAGAGAGGACCTAAAAGCAATGCTCTGGTGAAACAGGTTTTAGTGAGGGGGAAAAGGGAAGTGAGGGAGAGGTGGATGCCAGGGAAACACGGGCACGGGGGGCCGAGGCGCAGGCAGGTCCAAGGAGGCTGGGACGAGGGAACTGGGAGGCAACGGGGGCCAAGGGAGAGGAGACACGGGAGGACTGGCTTGGGGGGGGGTGTTGGTGGAGGAGTGTGGTGGCAGGCTGACCATGAGACCCGAGAGGACGCCGTGGAAGAGGTCCGAGGGGAGAGGGAAGGGTGGCGAGCCCAGCTGACACAACGGAGGATGGAGGTGAGTGAACCTGGAGGGAAGACAGACAGACAGACGGGGTTAGACACAGGGAAAACAAAGTACAGGGAAATGGAGATGACGCGGATTACTCAGGAGCTTGAGAGATGAATTGGCACCAGGTTAGGAGCAACGACGATCAAGCAGCAATTGTGTGGAGAACCGGGGTTGAAGTACTGGCAGAGATAAGGCTGATTGCTGACAGGTGTGGCAGGCAGAGGAGGAGGCTGACGAGGTGCAGGTGTGGATCGTCAGCTGGGCTCAGGAGCAGAGAGAGAGGAGGAGACACAGACAGGCAGGCCAAAACACAAGGGGAAAAACAGAATCACAAGAAAAAAAGGAGATATAAACAGGACACTCACCGTCAGCCAGGCTGCCACCACAATACTTATGTGAAAACATTATGATGCGCCCTCTGCAGGGATGGATTGCTGTCGGGGATGTGCCCAGGGACCAATATCCCAAAGGGGCCCATAGAACTTTGTCATTAATTATTGCAGAAGTTATGTTGCACTGAAGTTTCATTTCCAGGGGCGCTTGAGAATACAGACCATCTATGCTAGCTTTTGTCTGTGCCTGAAAGGCATGAATTTCTGATGAATGTGTTGACACATTCAATTTCTGCGCCCTGTTGCCCACCATGTAAAGCTGGTGGCCTTCTTGTTTTTTTCGCCTCTGACAGCCTTAGTCCGCCACTGCAAGACACACAATACCAGAATGATGGAACCTTTCCCCAGCACTGACACAGCACTACAACAAAGTGAGTAAGTCACCCTGGTGTCCCAAATGGTTGTCAAAATTTTGTTTTAAAATTTTTAGAGCTTCATCACCCCAAATCATTAGCAGCATGATTAAAAGGTGAGCATGATTAAAAGGTGACACTGAGGTGTGCGACACACCTCAGTGTCTTCTTTTTCTGACTGTTAGACGTGGAGGTTGTAAAGAAAATATTTTTTTTAATAGTATGCTGCTGTTACAATGGTTTAAAATCTAAGATAAGTCACTCCCTGTGGTGCAAGACTTCCTGCCCGAGAGCAAAATGTCATTATATGATTAGTAAAACCTTGGGTCGCCATTATGTGAAATGGAACACTCCTCCTCCAATCTAGGCTGATGAGATAGTGTACTGAAGCTGTTTGGTTTTATCCAAATTCTAAATGTTGAAATATGAGAAAATCAGGTCCTGGTAGCTGGGAATATTTGCTGGCTTTACTGTACCTGCCATCCAAATGAAAAAGACTGAACAGAAAGTGAATGTGCACAATCCCAAATACACTTGCGCCAATCCCATTGGGTAGAGGGAGTGTTAGCTTGGGAAAGATCTTGTCCATTGATGGTGATTACGATCTCGCAGCTGTCCCCACTCAGCACAGTCAGCAGAGAGAAAACTCCAGGAGGTCTGCTAATGTATGCTGTGGAAGAATGCAGGAAAACTCAGCTGTCTGTCTGCACCTCTCTGTGTCTAATGATTTCTGGGTTCACGCCACATTCTCTTCAGACACAGAGACATAAACAGTAGAGACACATTATTAAATCAGATACTGTACTTACCTGATGGCAGCTGCTGCTGCTGCTGCAAGGGCCGAGAAATTCGAGAATGAACTTTTCTCTTGTCTCTGTTAATTTTTGTCATGGTTCTAGCATTGACAGTCTGTCAGTCTGTCGGTCCGCCACGTTGGTCCATTCTCATCAGCCTCAGCTGTACAATAATTAGCAAATGGATGCTAACATGCTAAACTGAAATGTTTAACATGGCAGACACTATACCTGGTATATATTAGCATGTCATTGTAAGCATGCTGATGTTAGCATTTAGTTTAGTTTTTTAGCAAATACTTGTCCTTGTGTTTTTGTTCATGCGCTGTCTATATTAGGCTATAAGATAAATTGTGAAATGTAATGTCATGTCAGGACCCTCTTGTAAAGACATCTCTGAAAGCCTTTTCTGCACACAGTAAAATTAGTCCAAGAAACATCTGACTGCACTTAATTTTTTTTTATTACAGATATAGACACAGACAGCTGCTGACTGGAACACAGAGGAGCTTTCATTCTTAAAAAAAGAGAAGACCCATTTAGGGTTTGCAGTTTGACTTTTATTCACTGCTTTCATCACCTTAAAAAAGTGAAGAACAACTCTTATCACATTAGCATCACAATGTTCTGTCAGCTGAACATATCCAGGAGGCAATGGGTTTTGGCAGCAGTCCTGTGGGCGTTCATCAGCTGAATCATTTTCAGACATCAAGTCAGTCAAACGATTTGACATATGAGAATGTAGAGGAAAATAAAGCCCCCCAGCACTGTGCTAAGAAACCACAAGGCTTTTACTCATCATTATGCCAGTAAAGATACCAGATTTTCCCAAACGTTGAACAATTTCTGACTCTCACATCCTCCTCCTCTTCTTCTCGGGTGTCTTCCACTCCTTTATTCTGTATCTGTTGGTGTCAAACAGTCCTTGAATTTCCTCTTGCTGCCCCTTCAGATGTGAGCTTTGGTGTGGGTGGTTGAGACACGTCTCTTTCTCTTTGTGTGTGCTGTAAATATTTTCTTCAATCACAGAGTCCAACCTCTGTCTAATCTCTAAGACACACATCAAAGCACAGGATGAAGCAGATGGGTTAAGAGTGAGTGCACGTCTCTTCCATTAAGGATTGTGTTTGTAGTAAGAAGGACTTTATTACTTAATTTCTACAATTCATAGATACAAATAAACAAACAAGGATTACATTATATTGCATAACATTTGTGTAAATGTACACAATACAGGACTGTGACTTTTGAAAGATGAAATAACACAGTTTGTTGCTCGTAGAAATTAAAAAAGCTAAATTCATAAGCTACAAAACACATTTTTCCTAAATTTAATAGAAGGGTTATACCACAACACCATTGCTTTGGCTAGGTCATTAGGTCACCTAATGGCGATGTCTTTAAAGCAACTGAAGGGAAATACAACGTGCCATTATCCTGTAATTACCACTTGGGACCACAGTGGCCTCTGTTCAGCAAAAGTTAACAAAGCCTACACGTGATTTTTCATGTTTCAGCCCATTTACGTCAAGCTACATAAATGTACTGGATTAAACTAAATTGCAGATCTCTGCTGCAGTCAAATTTCGTGTATGTGTATTTGCCCAGTAAAATATTGTATTTCAGGTTTTTTTTTTAAAGGAAACTGTAGTTTATTTTGATTCAGTCCAACATACCCCATCCTAATGCTGTATGATAACACTGTTTACTAAAATACAATGCTGAGATGTAATTACTAGACCTTTTTGGATAAATTCAACTATAGAGTATGTACCTGTTAAAATGTTCAGATTTACACATTTAAAAGAGACATACTAATATGTTGATGTTTTTTGTCTTTTCATGGGGTTTGTTGACAATAAGAAATATAATAAAAACAAATACTGGCAGCTTTATTTTTATTTTCCAATACATGTGGTTACATTACCATTCAATAACATAATATTGTTAACAAAAATATATACACTCTTGAATGAATGATAAATTTCATTTGCTGACTGATTGGCATCTACTTTTTTGTATGATACAGACGTTAATTTGAAAAACAATCAGCAGTAATTGGAAGTATACATGAATTGTTGGTAAGAAGATAAAACATGGTATATTCCTTTAATTCAAAGCCTTCCAAGTGTTTCAGTCTTTGATTTTTTTAATCCGTTGTTTTGTACTTTTATTTTCACCTGTTCACCCAAACTAGTACGTTTAGGCCATGTGCACTGAAAACCACGCCACACATTCTTTGACTTTGTTGCACGAGAGAAAAAAAGAATTGAAACTGAGAACACCAACAACAGTCATAAGAGATCTTTTTTTTAACCTACTGTTTCTGTTTCTCTCTGAGCCACCATTCTTCCCACACAAAGCCAAATAGAGCCGGAGGTAGTCATTATAGGCTTCCCAGGGTAATGCTTGACTGACTGCTCAAGTCTATTCTCGCTCAGTCAGGGTGAAGTGGGTGCACAGTGGTTCTTAGAGTAGACTCTGGGTGACAAACATTCATATAGGGTGTAATTCTTGTGGTTGTGTTTTCAAGCCCAATGAGGCATGGGTGGAGTGCCACTTACTAAAACAAAACCAGGATTTCCCAAGTGGTGCCAGGCACCCATGGAGAAGAAACAAGTCTGGTCCAAATTCTGGCTACACGCTGGCCAAGATGTGAATTCCCTGGGGGTTTGGCTTGGGATCGGTCCCTTTCTTGCTTATAGTTTGCTTTCTGTAACAGTGGTAGGAATCAGGAAACAGGACTGAAGTCTGTCATCAGAAGGTTATTTCCATGTTTGGAGGTACACTGTGTCAGCTACCTGGTTGCTCTTACTCAGCAGACTGTTTGGGTTTTCTGTCATGTGGCTATTGTCTGTCAATTTGGAAATTTGGTTAGTTATGGATCAGTCTGGACTGTAGCATGGCACTGAGTCTCTAAGCATGTGTTTCTAATCAGTGGAAGAAGTTTTCAGATCATTTACTTAAGTAAAAGTACAAGCAGCAGCATTTACTTCTGTAGCTGGTCAAGGTGGAGCTAGTTTGAACTACTTTACACCCAGTAAAGTAGTAAAGTCACTTGGTTTCTAATCTAAAGGTCAGGCCTCCTCCGAAAGGTCACAACATAAATCTGAGGGGTCATGAAATGATTAACAGGATAGGAAATAGGGAAAATAAACTAAGTTCTAGTTATTTCTGTGTGTTTTGTGAAATATTCAATATGTATACCTCTCTGGGCCTCTAACAGTGATTTAAATGAAATCATCTGAGATGGTGAAATATATGTTTGGTAGGACTGCTAATAACTCAGACATTGGAAATATGACAGGGGGGCCTGACCAGACAGTTTTCTTGTAAGAGATCACTAGAAAAAAGTTTGAAAACCACCACTGTAATCTTCAACAACGTGTTGAATCTTAGTAACAAATAACTGAACCTGAAAATAAATGTAGTAGAGTAAGCAGTGCAATATTCCCCTCTGAACTGTAAGGGAGTAGAAGTATAAAGTAGCAGAAAATAGTAAGTAAAGTGTAAGTAGCTCAAAAGTTTACCAGTACCAAAAACAAAAGTACCATTTTTGAGTAAATGTACTTTGCACCACTGGTGTTTATGTTCTGTTTGTGTTCTGCAACTGCTTTATCTGAAGATGTAACAAAATATGTTTCCTGTCAAACTTTGCATCACAGCACAGTTAACAATTCCTTTACATGCATCACGCTTTGTTGCATGTGTCATTCATAAGAAGCACGCACTGTGTAAATATGTAAAAATCATTTAGCATTTTGACAGAAATAGATAACAGCATGAATTGAAGCACACACAGGGTGTGTATACTTTGGCTCTGTTTAGATTCAGAAAATTAAGACCTGCTCTTTTCATGCCTTTTTAAAAAAACGGGCTCTGCCCTTTACACATGTGCGCTTTCTTTTTAAAGGCAGCAGTGGCTGAAATTCCTGACAGGCTATCATTTCCCCTGAGAAAATGAATGTATTTGAAAAATGTGGCAGCAAAGCTATATCATTTTATTTTTCCTCGAAGTGACGCACAGTGTTCTGTGTGAAATACACTGAAACAACATGGATAAAGGTCAGTTTCAGAAGCCTGAATATTACATAGATAACATCTTTTCCCGTTTTAATTGAATTCAGATACCACAAGAACCATTTCAGCTCTAGGAACACTTTAAACTCTGCAGTGTCCTTTTTTGTGTTTGATTTGGATACAAACACTTTTATGTTGTATTATTAATTTGGTATCACCAAGTGACTACAGTCTCATACAATTACAGAGTAAGTGCATAGAACAAATCAGTCATTGGATGTCCACAATTCCCCCTAGTTAAATTAAGACGCAACAGAAATAATTGTTTGTGGAGCCAAATGAGAACGATTACAAGTCAGAGTTCCCCTTTACTTTGCTTCCAGGCTAGAAATCTCAGTGTAGTCATGGAGCCAGGACTAAACTTCAATAAAACAATTACAAAATCTGTCTAAGATCATCTTAAGAGCATAATTCAAGGACTCATGTCTCAGCAGTAGTCTTCAGTACTGTAAATATGTCTTTACAGGCCTCTTTAAAAAGCCAATCAGACAGCTGCTGCTCCTCACTATGAACATGAAAGTGGATCACATCTGTCCAGTTCCAAGATTGTCACACTGGCTTTCTGTGTTTTAATGTATTGCACTTAAACTGCTGTTTCCTAAAGCACTGATTAGTTTATGGCCAAATTACACATCTGATCCGCTCCTACATTATGGACCGTAAAGACCTTTTGCCGAGATAATGCATCCACCTCACAGGTGTGGCATATCATACCTTAGGCTGGCCACATTAAAAGGCCACTTGAAAATGTGCAGTTTCACTGTAAAAATAATAATAATAATAATAATCCTTATTTGTAGAGCACTTTTCAAAAACAAGTTACAAAGTGCTTTAACAAGTGTAAAGAATAATACAAAAAAAGATAAGAGCATGAAAATTTAATATAAAATTAGTAAAATATAATAAAATAAAAGGGATAAAATAAGTCAAATAAGATCGGGAAAAGCTCTCCTATAAAAGTATGTTTTAAGAAGGGACTTAAAAGAGTTCACTGACTCAGCCGACCTGATTTCCTCGGGCAGGCTGTTCCAGAGCCTCGGGGCCCTGACAGCAAACGCTCTGTCCCCTTTAGTTTTCAGTCGAGACTCTGGAACAGACAACAGACCTCTGCCCGAGGATCTCAAGGTACGTGCTGGTGCGTATGGGACTAAAAGGTCAGAAATATAACAAGGCGAGAGGCCATGAAGAGCTTTAAAAGTGATCAATAGAATTTTAAAGTCAATTCTAAAACATACTGGGAGCCAGTGTAATGAAGCTAAAATAGGAGTAATGTGGTCATATTTCTTTGTTCTGGTTAAAAGCCTGGCAGCTGAGTTCTGGACAGTCTGGAGTCGATCAATAGATTTTTGGGTTAAACAGGTGAAAAGGCTGTTGCAATAAACCAGGCGTGATGAGATGAAGGCGTGTAAAATGGTCTCGGTGTCCTTAAAAGTTAACATTGATCTAATTTTAGCTATATTTCTAAGTTGATAAAAACATGATTGAACAAGCTTTGTGGTGTGCTGCTCGAAATTTAAATTACTATCAAACCAAACACCAAGGTTCTTTGCCACAGGCTTAATGTGATTTACTAGGGAACCAGCAGATGGCAGTATTTGATTTGCCATCTGCTGAGACCCGATGACCAGGATTTCTGTTTTGTCTGAGTTCAGCTGGAGGAAATTATTTGACATCCATTTTTTAACTTCACAAAGGCAGTTGTTAAGTGAACTCAGCATTCCAGGGTCTGTGGATCTGACGGGCAAGTATATTTGTGTGTCATCAGCATAAATATGAAAAGAAATGCCATGTTTATGGATAATATGTCCAAGGGGAAGCAGATACAAGGAAAACAAAATGGGTCCTAAGACCGACCCCTGAGGCACACCATATTTAACTGGACAGAATGAAGAGACATAGTTGTTTACAGACACGCAAAACTTCCTATTTGACAGGTAGGATGAAAACCATTCTAGGGCAGTACCAGAGATCCCCACCCAGTGCCTCAGTCTGTCTAACATGATGTTGTGATCAGTGGTGTCAAAAGCAGCGCTAAGGTCCAGGAGTACCAGGACTGAGCACATACCTTCATCAGCAGACATTAAAAGGTCATTGGTGACTTTAAGCAGGGCAGTCTCAGTGCTGTGGTACTTCCTAAAACCAGACTGAAACTTTTCAAATAATTTGTTATTTTCCAGCACAGTGAGCAGCTGTTTGGGCACAATTCTTTCTAGAATCTTTGCAATAAAAGGCAGTTTTGAAATTGGTCTAAAATTATGTGGGAGGGAGGGATCTAAACCAGGTTTCTTTAAAAGTGGGTTCACGCAAGCCGTTTTAAAATAATCAGGGACACAACCAGTAGATAGGGAGCTGTTGAAAACAGAGATCAAATGGGGCCCAACAGAATCTATTACTTTCAGTAAAAATTTTGTAGGTATTATATCAAGTGGGCTGGAGGAGACTCTCATTTGTGATACTGTTTTTAAAAGCTCAGACAAGTCGATGGGATAAAACTGGTTAAAACTCTGTTGTTGCTGGTGAGGGACCTCTGAGTAAGAGGCCACGGGGGTAATAGAGGCTCTGATTGACACCACCTTATTGGTAAAATAAGATAAAAACAATTCACAGTCATCATTACTTCCAGCTGAGGCACAAGGAGGGGTTGGGTTTACCAGCTGATCCACAGTCTTAAACAGAAACCTGGGATTGTGTTTATGTGTAGTAATGAGTTCAGAAAAATAGTGTGTTCTCGCATCCTTAACCATTTTATTGTAGTTAATTAATAAATCCTTCAGACTGAGGTAATGGACTTGGAGACTGGATTTTTTCCATCTGCGCTCTGCTTTCCTGCATTCCCTTTTGAGGCTGCGAATGCTGTCATTTATCCAGGGTTGCTTACTAGCTTTAGACGTAGGCCTAACCTTTAGAGGAGCAGTAATATTTAGTGACGACAAGCAGATATGATTGAAGTGATCGACCAGATTGTTGGTGTTGGAATCAAATTGGGGGGGTCCGGAAAACTGCGTTTGCCTCACGCAGTGCAACACATCTCCTTCGCATAGAGCTGATCAGGTTGTTGATTGTGGCCTGTGGAATGTTGGTACACTACTCTTCAATGGCTGTGTGAAGTTGCAGTCAGGTTGAGACCCCGATGAGGATGACGAGCATGCAGATGAGCTTCCCTGAGATAGTTCCTGACAGTTTGTGCAGAAATTCTTTGGTTATGCAAACTGATTGTTCCTCAAAACTTGCAACATCTGTGGCATTGTGCTGTGTGATGGAACTGCACATTTTCGAGTGGCCTTTTATTGTGGCCGTCTGATCAGCATCTTGATATGCCACACCTGTGAGGTGGATGGATTATCTCGGCAAAGGAGAAGTGCTCACTAACACAGAGTTTGAGAGATTTCGATTTGAGAGAAATAGGCCTTTTGTGTACAAAGAGAAAGTCTTAGATCTTTGAGTTCAGTTCATGATGAATAGGGGCAAAAACAAAAGTCTTGCAATTATAATTTTGTTCATTGTATATAAAGCACTTTGAATTGCTTGTTGTTGAAAGGTAGTATATAAA